CCTAATTATCTAAATCATAATCTATAAACCCTAAGATGATGCTTTCCTCTTTGTGCCTATATTTGGACGAATCATAACCGTCGATTATTGTTTCTAATCAAATTGATCTTGGAATATAAGATTGGGAGAATTATGACCTAGATTTTGATCTTTAAGGGTTAGAGTATAGTATCATGTCCGAAAGATCGGTCAATTCAAGGTCTAGATAGTGTTTTCATACTCAAGGTATGCTGTACCCCGGATTTTACCCAGGGTACCGTAGAACTCGCCATATATATATGTATGTATGTCAGTATTTTTCTTCTAAAATATATTATAGTGGATGTTATTCTAAAAATTACAATTGATATGAATTTTTATGAAACTTTTATTTTAATTTTGATTTAAAATGAAAGATATGTAGCATATTAATATTGGTTACATATATTTATGTAAAAATTGGTTATTGAGAGAATTCGCTCTCCACCCAACTCACTGATATTTCGACCAATGGATGAGTGTGAATCATTTTTCGCCATCCACCGAAACTACAGATTAGTGTATTTTAGACTAATTAAGACAGCTCAACCCACTCATAATAAAATATAAATGCCTACTCACTACCTTTAAGAAATATAGCTGATTTAACAATCAACTGTTCTCCATTTCCATTTTTTTGTCACTCCCGTTTAACGGTCAGTAATAGTAGTGGCGACATTAAAAGTTTTGGTCACAAAAGTCGCATACCAACCAAACTTCAAGCTTTCTAGCTACTATTTCCTTGGGTAGATAAATCATTGTTCATTATTTTAGTGACCATTTCAACTCCTTGCGTCTTTTAGGCCTGAACGTCATCTTGTTGAAGAAATTACTCGAACCATACTCGGGGCAATCAGACAAACGTATTCTCCTATTATGGAAGGTTTGGTCGGCATAGACCAAGACATCGAAGACGTGGAGAAACTGTTGAGCTTCGACGACGAAAACGACAACCGAATCATAGGGTTTTGGGGCATGCCCGGCATTGGCAAGACCACCCTTGCCAAAGCCATGTTTCACAAAATAGACGCGGAGAAATTCCAAGGAGTCCATTTCATCGAAAACTTCGCAGCCCAGCTGAAGAAGACACAGGTGATCGATCTACAGAACGAACTCTTCTACAAGTTGCTCGGTGACGACGAGAAAGCGCACGTCATGCCCACCAATGTGAAACTCGATCGCGTTGGTCGAGTGAGATCCTTCGTAGTCATCGATGATGTGACCATGGATAGCTTGAGAGCCGTGGAAGAACTTCTTCACGGGAAATCATGCAATCTTTTTAAATCGGGAAGTAGAATCATCCTGACGAGCACAGATCGGCAGGTACTCAAGAACGTCCGCTGTCAGGAAGTGCACCAAGTCAAAGGTCTCGACGACGATAAAGCCCTACAACTTTTGAGTTCATATGCATTCAGAAAAGATCGACCGCCGAGTGAGTTCATGGAGAGGTGCAAGAAGATAGTATCTTATGCAAGTGGCCACCCGCTAGCCCTAAAAGTTTTGGGCGCGGCTTTGCTTGGTAGGTCAACGGGATACTGGGATTGTGCATTGGACAAGCTTAAGAAAATCCCTAATAAGGAAATTGAGAATCTGTTGATGATTAGTTATGATGGGTTGAGTGTGGAGGAGCAAAGCGTGTTCCTTGACATTGCTTGCTTCTTCAACCACGAGGACTGTAATTTCGTGACGAGAGTGTTGGATGAAGATCTGGTCTTGAATCTGGTTGATAAGTCTCTTCTCCTCATTAATAGGGCAAAGGGAGAGATAGAAATGCATGGCATGTTGAAAGACCTAGGCAAGAAGATCGTGAGGAAAGAAAGGATGCTCGAGAAACGATCGAGGTTGTGGAAGGCCAAAGATTTACAAACCCTACTCAACAAAAACATGGTACATAACTTACGAGGAAATTGCATAAAATATACATCCAATACGTATAGGTTACGAAAATTAACGACGTATGTTTGGCTGTTTCTCTTGTCCAGGGAACCGAAGCAACAGAAGGCATCCTACTGAATATGAGCAAAACTAAAGAAGTGGTACGCGCAAACACATCTACTTTCGAAAGGATGATGAACCTGAGATTGCTTTCCATTCAAGTGGCGAAGAAAAGGAGTGTCATCTCAGCCCATGTCCTTCCACTCTCAATCAAAAGTAAGAAAGTGGTTGTTCGTGAGGAACTTAAATCCCTCTCCGGCGAGCTGAGGCTATTTGAGTGGGACTTATTTCCTGCCACATCTTTGCCTTCTGAATTTTCTCCTCGCAACCTCCACGTATTAAGGCTGAAACACAGCAACATCCGACAACTATGGGAAAGCGATAATGTGGTAAGTATGCATAGAACTTAACTCTCTGAGGTATTCGGCGTGAGTGCTTCTTACTTCTACCAAATGATGAACCGTAATTCACAGTTAAAGAATCGTTTACAACTCACAAGCGAGAGTATGACATATAGCTCTGAATATGAAATGATTCGATGTTTCATATACATTTAATTTGCTTGCAGGATCTTGGAAATTTGAAAGAGCTTAATCTCTTTTCATCGAAGTACATTAGAAGGTTACCCGACCTATCAACCGCGAAAAAGCTCGAAGTGATTGATCTCACAAGTTGCACTAGCCTAGACGAGATTCATGACTCCATCATATATAATCCAAAGCTCCAAACCCTAATTCTCAACTCATGTGGACGCCTGAACCCTAATTTCCTGGATCATGCAAAGGGTGACCAAAGTCAAGCTTTCCCAAGTCTCAAAGAAGTCAACTTGGACAATACCATGATCAAACAAGTTCCCTATCTGATCAAATCTGCACCACTTCTCTCCAAACTCAGTTGCTCGTCTTGCCCTGAGATTTCTGAGTTCCCAGAGATTTTGCCGTCCATGGAGGCATTAATTGAACTTGACTTGAGCTATTGCAAGGGTATATCAAGCATTCCCGACACCATTAGGATTCTCTCGAGCTTGGAGAAGCTTGATATATCTGGCACAGGGATTGTGGAGGTACCGTCGTCCGTCTTGGATTTGCGACGTCTCTCCATGTTGAGATATGCCAAGTGCGAAAAGCTTCTGAGGGCTCCGACCAGCTATAAGAAACTGGTCCGTTTGAAAACTCTCGACGATTCTGGATGTGATATGTTAATCAATAAGAACCCAGAACTTCCCGACACCTTGGAATATGTAAGTGACGAAGACGAAGATCAAGTTGATTAAACAGGTAATACGAAGTGCTGCCTTTTCGAGTGATTTTACTATATATAGGGTTGAATCATCAACTTATTTAACATCTTGAAGATGGTATCATTTGATCGATGAACTAGGGTTTGCGAAACCCCGAAATTCATTGAAAGTTGAATTATCAAACCCTAAATTTGTTGCATTACTACTTCAAAGATTCCATTGATTACATTTTCCCCCCTTTTCTTCTTCTATATGTTAATCACATTATATATTATTTTAGCACCAATGTATTAAAGCATATAATTGTAAAATTCCTCTAATTTTATATCTAATGCACTTACATGTTTGTTTGACAGGTATTTCCGGCATATTATTCATCCAAAATATAGCAAGAAGGCACAAGAACCACTTGTAAAGTAAATATATAAATAAATAAGACGGATTAATTAATGACATATTCGGAGACATCAATCGAAATATTGTAATGCAAATTTGTAATTGTTAATTGTACTTATTCGATATATTGCCCATTATATTAAGCCATGTAAAATATATTCACCCAGTAAGTGTCTGAAATAAAACATGAGTAATTACTGACGTATTCGGAGACATCGCTTATTACCCAGCTGCCCATTACTCAATAGTCATTCGTTCCATTTGTTGTTTGGATATATAAAGATAACATTTAATTTTCAATCGTGTTCTGTTCATACGATATCGTTATCTCAATATTAAATCAAAATGTGAACTTTAAAGGGAAAATAACTAACATCAACTTTTTTCTTCTTCCCTATTTTTTGTTTTAGTTTTAGCCTTTCTCTCCTGGATCATTCCTCTTGATCCGGTTTTCCTTGTGTACAATTGATCTTCTTTGGTTAATAAAATTTCACCATTATCAAAAAAAAAAAAACTTTTTGTAAAGAAGGGACACTTGGCCTTGAGAAAGACAAAGCAGAAAAAATAATTGTAGGAAGAATCCACTTTTGGAAGTGGTAGAGGAGGTCAGGATCCGTGACCGTGTCCCATCTCTTTCCCAAATTATTGATTCCAACTGAACAAAGACAAGGCAAAAACTGGGTGCGATCTGGTTGTCCAAACTTGTCCCATAATTTTTATTTAACGGTATCTATTTTTTTTTTTTTTTTTGAAATGACAAAAAAAGAAAGATTGATTGTGCTCATGAAATGAAATTCATTTTGACATACTTTAAAACAATATATTGACACATAAATTACCAATCTATACATTGATGATGATGTTAGATAGTATATAAGATTATACTAAGCTGGTAGAAATACATTATTGTATAAAATGATTATACAGATGGTAGTAGTAATATTCATATATCACTATCTCGCACACTTTCACCAGCAAATCAACAAAATCAGCCAAAACTCCTATCCAGAATGAAAAATGTAGTGAGCTTTTATATCTAACCTCACTCAAGATAATAAAAAAAAAACGATGCATAAGATAAGCTCTACGTATTTTAAGACCCGTTAGTCCCAAACATTCCCTCAAACCAGCCGGTTATCCACTAGCCGGTAACCGAAGTAACCAAACTTCGGTCGATTATCGGAAGCTAGCCAAAATGGTTTTTGGTCTTAAAAGTGATTCGGTTAACCGATAACCAAGGTAACCGAGAAACCAAAACCTATTTCAATCGGTTTTCGGTAAAGGAGGTGTTTATTTCGGTTAACCGATAACCGGTCAATCGGTTAACCGATAACCGGTCAATCGGTTATCGGTTATAACCGAAATAACCGAACTGCCTACCTTTATATATCCACACATACATGCTTGTTCTCGAAAGCCATATATGCTAAGCTAGCTTATATACTAAGTACCACGAGAGAAAAGAAGAAGAAAAAAACATGTCGGTATTTAAGCTGCGATCCAACAAACAGTTCATCCGAACCCTCAAAGAGTCGCCGGACATCCAAGTCCTTGAGTACGCCGGCGACCCGCTCGATTTCGGAATGGCCAACCTCGACGCCCTAAGCTGGAGCCCTCCGTCCGTCGTCGGCCCATCTGCCGAGGCGACGTTCGATGCGCTGGAGGTGTTCGGCGTCACGATCGCCGGTGACCAACTGAAGGAGCTGGTTGGAGATCTGAAGATCAGCTGTAGTAGGGATGACAGGAAGCTGTGCCTGGCGGTCAACCGTCAAGGCCTGTGCTTCGTGGCTGTGAATACGGTCAAAGGGCTCAGGGCGATGAGAGTCAACGATCACTTCGGCTGGTCCAAGTACGGGGTGGTGCCAGAAATCGGTAGCGACGACGTATGGAGCGTATGTGACATGGGAAACGGCGACGTTTTGATGGGGCCACCGACCGTGGACGGAAGCTGCGGTAAAGATGAAGATGAAGATGCCAAGTTTTGTGGTGTGTGGAAAAAGGTGGTGGAGGAGAAGGAGAAGGTGATGGAGAAGACGGAGGCGCTGCTCAGGAAGTCGATTGAAGAGAAGGAACAAGAAGCGGCTTCTCTCAAGGCTGCCCTAAACGCCCTTACTAGTGCGGCAAATAGAAAGAAAGAAAGAAAATTAAGTTAGCTAGTGTGGTGTTCTATGTTTTTTCTATACTAATAAAAAAGTGTAGATGGTTGTGTTAATGTGCAAATTTCAAACTCATATGAGTGGATTTTGTTTGTGGATGTGTCAATAAGCAACATGTGATTTATGATTAAATCTCTAAACAATTTGAGTTATTTGGTGCAAATTAATTTAAAATCAATTTTAATTAGGAATGAAAGTATTTGATGCTAAATTGTCGGGTTGGTCCCCAATACACTAAAGAATAAACCAAGTCACACATTATTCCCTCCCGGCATCCTTATCTGGCGTTGGTCACGAAATTTCGCATTTTTATAGATTGGTTTTATGTTGGTCAATTTTAGTTTTTGTTTAGTATTCGTATTAATTAGTAATTACTGACTATTTTTCGGAAATTTTCTTTGGTAAGAAATAGTTCTTGTCGGATGAGACTGGTCAGCAGCTAGTGTGAGGGATGTTGATTTTTGAAATCTCATATAAATAATTAAATGCATATTTAGCCTCTCAAATTATTTTTTTGCAGAGTGAACCCTATCTCCTCTTGAAAAAAAAAAAAAACGATTACCATTTATTCGTACTTCTCATAGCAATTTCTTGCTCACAATTCAGAGTTCAAACGCATTAGTAGAGAATAATTGTGTAGAGGCTAGGCTCCCCATTTCCCACTATTGTGCAATCATTTTCTCAATTGGATGTTGTCTGCTTTTGAAAAAGACGATGTTAATTATTTGCCTTTAACCCTTTGGTCATATACTCATATTTTATCATATCCATAACAGGAAGAAGATCGAAGAAGAAGAAAAAAAAACAAAGATATGAGATAGCGATAGCACATAACCTAACAACTCTCAATTTGTCTTCTTGTGAATAATGTGAAGTATGATCCATAAACAATCATTCACGTAGGGTAGCTGTACTTTCTTAGTATGATCTATAAACCGTCATTCAGGTCTGGAAGACCGTTGACTGCGAGACGTGTTGGTTGAATCGACTGGCTAATATATTATGGGTGATCTGACGATCGAACTAATTGATCGATGTATTCTTGATTTCTTATATCTCTAATCTAAGAAAGCCGATACATCTACCGATAGATGAAGCTTTTCCAAGTTTGAAAGAATCATGATGGTCTCAGGAACTGCTTGCTTGATACATCTACCTGATCGGCTGATCTTCCCCCTGAACTCCACTCCCACATCCCTCCTGATAATTTAATGGCAATCAACTTCCTCAACCATGAATCACATCTAGGAGCCTTGAATAGAGAGCGATAGTAAATATTCTGGGTGATTAGTGGTGTTCAAATGATTATTATGCAAAGAGAGAGAAAAGGATAGACAGTTCAAATGATTATCATGCAAAGAGAGAGAAAAGGATAGACAAATAAAGGTCAAATTACCTATTTATTAGTCACCTAAAATTTATTGACCGTGAATGTTAATTCACTCGCTTAGGGGGGGGAAAACGAAATTGGCGGGCACTGTGTTTCTGGCTATGAGAATAAAGCAAAAGCTTAAAGGGAAATTATTAACATCGTCTTTAACAAAGCAAACCTGAACACGTATGCCAATCTCCAGAAAACGATCGCAAAAAAGACAGTAGAAATGGCAATAATTGGATTCACTTTAACACCAAACTGGATCTGAAAGATACGAATTTAAGTCGGTTCTGAAAATTTAGATAGAAGGATTCGAAATTAAGGATAATTTATTTTACTTAGTGTTTTTAATTGGCAATTATTTTATTAGCTCTAATTTTTATTTTAAATTTTTTTGCATAGATGAAACGAGTTTGTTGTGCTCTACAAAATTATATCCATTTTCACTATTTTTGAGAAAACAATTTCATACTTCTTGTTACTAACTCCTTATCATATGGTATCTCCTTCGTTTTTAAGTCCTTTTTAAAAATATTTGCACAGAAGAAACGAGTTCATCCTGATCTATTAGATATACGAATTTCTAAGGAGAGAGGAAATACATGACTAAAAAATACCACATCATACCACCCTGGAATGAGAGTGGTATCTTTTGGTACACAATGTTGAAAGTAAAAAATGATAGTTAGTATACTCCTACTATCATGTATATTCAATCATCCTATAGTCTGATATGTTCATACCACCGTGCTACATTTTCATACCATATGACATGGGTTTTTTTATAAGGGTGATATAGGTAGGGGTGGCTATACGGTCCGGTCCGGTTAAATTGGCCCAAATTTATCCGGTCCAGTCCGGTTTTTTTAAAAATATAAGGACCAAAGATTGGATTGGATACAGTCCGGTCTTGATCCGGTCCGGTCTTGACCCGGTCCGGTCCCAATTCGATCTTGATTTTATATTGAGATTGTGGGAATTTGAGTGGCCTAAGGCCTAAAAGGGTGAGGAGTTGGTTAAGTTTTGTAATAAGTGCAAAGATTTGTGACCGTTTATGCAAATTACACTTAAGTTTTGGGTGTTGAGCTCTCTTATCCGGTCTTTATCCGGTTTTTTACCTCAAATCTAAGCCCAAAGATTGGATTGGATTGTTTACTATTCGGTCTCGGTCCGGGTTATACGGTCCGGTTTCCGGTTTTTTATCCGGTCCCGGTCCAAATAGCCAGCCCTAGATATAGGTACCATATGACATGCTCTTATCTAATACCAATCAATACCACCATGGTATAGACTGGTAAAAAATACCTCAATTTTTCTTGTTCCAATTTTTTTGTTAAAGTGGATATCATTTTGAAGAGCACAATTAATTTGATTTATCTGTGCAAAAAAATTAAATATCGACTTAAAACAGGAGAGAAATTGTATGTTAAAATTTAATGGGTAAAGATAAATTTCTTCCATAAGTTGCAGAGTGTTGTTGATGTGGCGGGTTGTAGTTGGATTATGCCTGGTTATCGACCAGTAAGTTACTGATCATATCTGTTTCCCTTTTAGGGGTGGAGCTAGGTAGCCGTTAGGGGTCCCGTCCCCACCCCTCCCTCCGGGAGCAAATCCGGTGAGTAACCTTAGGTAAGTAGCCCATCCATATCAGTGTGACATCAACACCCTCTCTTATGAAAAGACTTTAATTTTTTTATTTTTTATTCTTAACGGACAATTTCTCTCTCGTTTTAGGTCAGAATTTAAATATTTTTTGCTAAGATAAATCATATTAATTGTGCGCTTCAAAATGATATCTACTTTGCTATATTTTTAGAACAAAAAAATTTGAGTCATTTATTATGAGTCTATACCAAATGGTATCAACTGGTATTAAATAAGAGAATATCATATGGTATGAAAGCGACTATGGTGGTATGAACATACCAAGACTGTAGGATGGTTGAATAAATGATAATAGAAGTGAATTAACAATCATTTACAACTTTCGTCATTGTGTACCACAAGTTACCAGTCTCATAACAGGGTGGTATAGTATTGTATTTTTGGGTTCTGTATTTTTGTCGCCTAGAAATTTATAGATTAAATAGATCATGATGAATTTGTTCCTTTAGTGCTAATATCTTAAAAAACAACTTAAAAATGAAGGAGATATCATATGGTATGGAGCTGGTAACGAGAGGTATGTTTGAATTAAACCACTCTTCCATTCATTCGAAAAACTTGTATAATGCATGATATCAATCTGATCAATATATCTTATCAAATAATCATTAATAATTTTGTCATTCAATGCGAAAAGTATTTTATGGAGCTCACTGCAAATGCTCTTTCAGTATTTAATTTACATCATAGACTTAGATAGCAACAACGCTATAATGTACTTCTTTCAATAACCATGATCACAAAAAGTAACCATGATCACAAAAAGTTCAGAAATTCTATCTAGTTATAGTTAACCCATAAACCTTTTTGTACTTTAGTTTCGATTAGCTCATCACACTAACATCACCCACATTACACTACTCGGATTACCTCACTACACGTGACACCTAAACTATTGTTATTCTCATCACCTCTGTCCTCCAACGCAAGCTCCTATAAATTCATGCAAAGTTCCCTCTGGTCGAGTAAAATAAGAATATTAAGCTATCACAAATGTGTTGGGTAGTGATCTTCATCTCTTCCGTGTAATTCATTTTTTCTTTTTTCATCCCCAGAATCTATCATTCTTTCTTTCCCGTCACCACTATCTTACTTGTACGTCAATATGCCTATAGTAGAGATTTCCTGGTGCTGTTGCTTCCTTAGTGTTCCTTGTGGATCATCAAACAGGAAGAGAAAGGAGAAAGAGTCACCCACTCCTTCCCATGATAAAAGAACAGGTTCTCCCTCCTCCTCTACAGGCAGGCATGAGAATAAGAGAAAGGGGAAGAAGAGCTGGTTTCGTTTTCCTCACTCACGTACCAAAAAAGATGGCAAGAAAAGGACAAAGGAAGAAAACCCAGTTGCTTCTTCTCCTGCACATGCGGACAAGAAGGACCAGAAGAGGCGAAAGGATGACGATAAGAAGGGAAAGGGGAAGGGGAAGGAAGAAAAATCAACTCTTTCACCTTCCTCGCAGACAAAGAAGGAGGACAACGAGAAGAGGAAGAAAAAGGAAGAAGAGCCAGAGAAGGTGGAGAAGATGAAGGAAAAGGAAGAAAAACCCACAAAGGAGGATAAAAAGAAGGGGAGGGAAGAAAAACCCACAAAGGAGGGAAAACTTGGGAGAAAGGAAGAAGGCCCTAAAAAGGAGGACAATAAGAAAGGAAAGGAAGAAACTACAAACAACGATCAAACTATAAAGTACGATGTTTTTATCAGTTTCAGAGGAACCGACGTACGACAGACCTTCGTGAGCCACCTCTTTGCTCACATGAACAACGAGAGGCACCTCCTCACTTTCAAAGACGACGTGAGTCTCAGGCGAGGAGACGAGGTCTCGCCATCGCTCACAGAAGCAATCGAGAGATCCTCGTCGTATGTCGTCATCTTCTCCCCAAACTATGCAACCTCGGACTGGTGCTTGAACGAGCTTGTCAAGATTATGGAGTGTGCGAGAAGGTATGGACGGAAAATGATACCGGTGTTTTATGGTGGAGTGACGCCTTCCCATGTTAGGCACCAAAAGCAGCGCTACGCTGATGCATTTGTTCAACACAAAAAGGAGCATCCCGACGACAAGGAGATGGAGGCCAAAATCAAAAGTTGGAGAAGTGCGTTGACGGAGGCGGCCAACATTTCAGGGTTTGAGTCCACGGTCGTCAAGTACGTTAAACGCTTTCTCGTTTAGTTGTGCTCGTTCTTTAATCTGCTTGTTGTTTTTTTTTTAAGTGCGAGCTAGGTGTATAATTATTGGTTATATATTTGCGCATAACTAGTTTCGTACCCTCAATTTTAAGTGGGTCAAATCTAATGAGTGAAATTTTGTATTACATTAATTGGAAAACAAAATATATTACACCTTTCATTTTATAATAAATCACGTATAACCTTTCATTTTAGAAATCGGGTATATATATATATATATTCAGTCCCAACTTTTTTTCACCCCAGTTTATCAATATCACAAATCACTCAATTGGATTTTTTTTGTTTACATTTAATGAAATATTGGTATTTTTTTCAAATAATCAATTGTGTTTTTTCCTTACAAAAAAATGAAAGTTTGGTATATATGTACTTTTTTTCCATCTCGTGAGACTTTTCCATCAATTATCCGCGCGGGACCCATTTCGTCACTAAAAGTATTGTTTTGATACATGCTCTCTAATGTAATTTAACTTTGTTGCTATCAAAAAATTAATAACCTCCTCATATTTTTTTCTAGGCCTGAACGTCGTCTGGTCGAAGAAGTGGCTAAAAGCATCCTAGGGGTAATCAGACCAGAATCATCTCCTGTCACACAAGGGTTAGTCGGTATAGAGCCAGAGATTGAAGCCGTTGAGAAATTATTGGAGACCGATGATACCAAAAACAACCGTGTAATAGGGTTTTGGGGGATGCCCGGCATTGGCAAAACCACCCTCGCCAAAGCTATCTTCGAGCAGATTGATCCAGACAAATTCAAAGGACGTCATTACATCCAGAATTTTGCAGGCCAGTTGAAGAGGACCACCACGGTGATCGACTTGCAAAATGAGCTCTTCGACAAGTTGTTAGGCGACGAGAATTCACATGACATACCATTCAATCTGAAGCGCAATCGCCTCCGTCGTCTCAGGGCTTTCGTCATCATCGATGATGTGACAAGCCTACAAACCTTACAAGAGTTAACAGAAGGAAAATTCATTTCCAACGGTCAGATTACTCTACGACAACGTTTCGACACGAGACAAGGAGCTTAAGTGGAACGCCGCCGTTTCTGTGCTGCTGAAGGAGAAGCCATCCTCTCGGAACGTCACCGTTTCTTCTTTCCTTTTCAGTCGTTGTTTACTTTTCACCCAAGGCTGTCTTGTTTCCCTTCCAAGCTTCAAAACAAACAGAAACTTTGCTTGTCTTCTTCCTGTAATGCTCTGCCTATAAAGGCCAGAGATTGTAATGAAATGCTCAAGTTTTTAGGGTTCAATCTTCTGTACCACTTCGTTGTTATGGTATCAGAGCCCGGGATAGAACCCTAGCCGCCGCCCTTCTTCTTTTCAATGGCGGACAACCAAGCCGCTCAACAACAACAGGCAGAGCCACAAAATGTGCCTGCCCCCAATCCTCTTGATCCTCTCTCAGACCCTTTCTTTCTCCATGGCTCCGAGCAGCCTGGATCTCTTCTTGTCGCTGAAACCCTTACTGCCACGAACTACAATGACTGGAGTAGGGCGATGCTCAATGCACTTGCTGCTAAAAACAAAGTTGGCTTCATCAATGGCACTATTCCACAGCCAGAGGCTACAGATCCACGTCATGGCGCCTGGATTCGAAACAATGTCATGGTGCTTTCTTGGATACAGCAAGCTTCTTCCTCAGAGATTCGCAAAACCATTCTCTCAAGTAAAACAGCAGCTGAAGCTTGGTCTAGTCTACAAACAAGGTATGGATCTGGTGATTTGATTCGGATTGCTGAGCTTGAAGAAGCCCTTTCTACTCTGCATCAAGGTAATCGTACCATTACTGAGTACTATGGCTATGTCATCACTCTTCGTGATGAGTTAGAGAACTACCAACCAATTTTGCCATGTACTTGCACCCCCACTAGTCACCATGACTGTGCTGCCATGACTCGTGTCCTGCAATATCATGAAACCAGCTATGTGATTAAGTTCTTGCGTGGGTTAAATGATAACTATGCTACTGTTAGAGCTCAAGTGCTATTTGGGGAGGAACTACCTACAATCAACAGGGTCTTTCAACGCATGTTACAGCATGAAAGACAGATCTATGGTACACAAACTGGCAAAATGGTTGCATCCACACAGACAGATCCAACTGCTCTTGGTTTTCAAGGAGGAAACAGAAGGACTTCTACCAATAGCAAACCACCCTACTGCACATTTTGTAGAAGAGAGGGACACACTGAGGACATCTGTTTTCAGAAGCATGGATGGCCACCTGGCATGTCCAGACCTCAAGCCTCCACATCTGGAACTGTCATTATCTGCAACCATTGCAAAAGAAGAGGACACTCTGAAGACAAATGTTTTCAGAAGCATGGTTATCCAGCTAATTTTGTCCCTCGATCCTCATCAACTGCTCCTCCCAGACCAAGACCAACAGCTGCTCTTCTCAGCACTCCATCCAGTAATGATGAAGTCAAGCTCACTAGGTCAGATTATGAGAAACTTATGAGCTTAATGTCTTCCACAAAGACACAACCCTCTTTCTCTGCTGCTGCATATGTGACTACACCAGGTACTACTTTTTCTCCAACTCCACCAGCACCAATATTGAATGCTTTTTCTACAAACCCTCCCAAATGGATTGTTGACACAGGAGCCTCTGATCACATTGTGTGCTCCTTAGCTTACCTCCATGACCCTCAACCATTACACAATATTTTCATCACCCTTCCTACTGGTGAACAAATCCAAGCAACACATTCAGGAACTGCCATCTGCAGTGGTGACTTGCACTTACATGATGCCTTGTTTGTTCCAAACTTCACTTTCAACCTTATCTCTGTGAGCAGATTAACTTCTAAGAACTCATTGTGTTTAACCTTTCACTCAACCACTTGTCTTATACAGGATCTGAAGCAGACGAAAGTGATTGGTTCTGCTAAACTCTGCAATGGCCTTTATTACCTTGAAGCTTCCCTTTTTCCTAAGTTGATCTCAGCTGCCTCCACCTCCACCTTTGACCTATGGCATTTTCGATTAGGGCATGTCTCCCATTCCAAAATTCCCATACTCAATCAATTTTGTACCTCCATTGCTACTCTAAGAGATCAACCTTGTGATGTCTGTCATTTTGCTAAGCAAAAACGTCTCCCTTTTCCTACCAGTCAGTCTGTAACTTCTTTCCCTTTTGAACTTCTTCATGTGGACATCTGGGGTCCCAACTCTGTCCCAACTTATGATGGATTCAAATACTTCTTAACTGTTGTTGATGATTACACTCGAATGACATGGATCATTCTTTTGCAACTTAAATCAGAGGCAAGACCTAAACTTATTGCCTTCTGCAATCAGATGGAAAGACAATTCCAAACAAAAATCAAAATCATAAGAAGTGATCAAGGAAAAGAATTCCAAATGGAAGATTTCTTTCACACAACAGGCATTGTTCATGAAATGTCCTGTGTCCAAACGCCACAGCAAAATAGTAAAGTAGAAAGGAAGCATCAGCACATCCTTGCTGTTGCTAGAGCCCTTCAGTTCCAAGCATCCCTTCCCCCTGCTTTCTGGGGTGACTGTGTCAAACACTCAGTCTACCTAATCAATCGTGTTCCAACTCCCATTCTCTCAAACCAAACTCCCTTTCAAATGCTTCACAACAAACAGCCAGACTTAACTGATCTAAGGGTTTTTGGCTGCCTGTGTTATGCCAGTACACTAGCCAGCCACAGAACCAAATTTCAACCAAGGGCAAGAAAAGCTATCTTCATTGGTTATGCCCCTGGGATTAAAGGTTACAAACTGTATGACATCACCTCCCATGAGGTGTTCATATCTAGAGATGTGATTTTCTATGAGTCCTATTTCCCATACAAAAATTCCTCTCCTGACCATGATTCTAGTTCTGATCCAGATTTTCTCTTCCTCATCCCAAATTCAAACAACAGCCTCATTCATGATCTTTCACCATCTTCTCCTTTCCCACCTCCATCTCCTTTCCCAGCTGCAGACTCTCCTGCTGCTTCACCTATTCCAGATATCACTCCTTCCCCACCTACCAGCCCACTGCCTTCACCACCCACCTCTCCAGATATACCATCACCACCACCTCCCCCACCAATCCAACCAGTAAGACGTTCAGACAGACAATCCAAACCCCCTCCCCATCTGGTCAAAAATTACCATTGTTTTTTATCACAGGGTCCAAGCAGAACCAGTCACTCAAGTCTGCAACAGAACCAAGCTTCCAGGTATTCTTTCCCTTCCTTCCTGTCATATGACAAACTTTCACCTGCTCACAAAAAATTTCTTCTGAACATTTCAAGTCATCATGAACCCCAATCTTACCAAGAGGCTTCACAACATGAGATCTGGAACAGTGCAATGCAGCTTGAAATTCAAGCTTTACTCAAAAATCATACCTGGGATGTGGTCAGTTTACCTAAAGGGGTGAAACCTATCAGCAACAAATGGATCTACAAGGACAAATTCCTCTCTGATGGTTCTTTGGAGAGACACAAAGCAAGACTAGTTGCCAAAGGCAACACTCAACAAGAGGGAATTGACTATCAGGACACTTTTGCTCCTGTCATCAAAATGACCACTGTCAGAACCTTTCTTGCAATTGCTGCCATGAGAAATTGGCATGTTCACCAACTAGATGTGAACAATGCATTTCTCCATGGAGATTTGCAAGAAGAGGTTTATATGACCCTACCAAAAGGGTATACTCCCCCACCTGGTATTCCCAACCCAGTCTGCAAACTGAAAAAGTCCTTATATGGCTTAAAACAAGCATCTAGACAGTGGTTTTCCAAATTGACTGACAAATTGGGACAGGTTGGTTACACACAGAGTCAAGCAGACCATTCACTGTTTTTCAAGGTCACAGACACTAGCTATACTTGCATTCTGATCTATGTGGATGATCTAGTTCTGGGAGGCAATGATATTGATGAGATTCAATCATTAAAAGAGATTCTGCACAAGGAATTCAGCATTAAAGACATGGGAGATTTGAAATTCTTCCTTGGTATTGAAGTGGCTCGAAGCAAGTCTGGCATTCACATCAGTCAAAGGAAATACACTCTGGAAATCTTAGAAGAAGCAAATGTACTGGATACAAAACCTGTCACTACACCTATGGACTACAAACTCCACCTCAGCAATGCCCCAGATACAGCATTTGAAGACCCTGAACTCTACAGAACACTTGTAGGGAAGTTGATCTACCTCACTACATCACGCCCTGACATCAGTTTTGCCACACAGCAACTGAGTCAGTTCATGTCTTCACCAACAATCACTCACTACAAAGCTGTTCTTCGTGTTCTAAGGTACCTGAAGTCTGCACCTGCAACTGGTCTCTTCTTTCCCTCAACAGGCACATTTCAACTCAAGGCCTTTGCTGACTCCGATTGGGCAGCCTGTGTTGACACCAGAAGATCGACTACTGGTTTTTGCATCTATGTTGGTGACTCTTTGATCTCCTGGAAAAGTAAAAAGCAAAGAACAGTATCAAGATCATCATGTGAAGCAGAATACAGGGCCCTCGCCCAAACGGCTTGTGAAATACAGTGGCTGCAATACCTTCTAGCCGATTTCCAAGCCTCTTCCTCAGCTCCAGCAACTCTATATTGCGACAACCAGAGCGCAATTCACATTGCCAAAAACCCAACCTTCCACGAAAGAACCAAACACATCGAACTGGATTGCCACTTTGTTCGAGAGAAGACACAATCAGGGACTCTGAAGCTTCTTCATATCTCCTCAGCTCACCAATTGGCGGATTTGTTCACCAAACCCTTGTCTCCAGCTCCATTTCAGACACTGCTCTCCAAGCTTGGTGTGCGCAATCTTTGCCCACCAGCTTGCGGGGGGGTAACAGAAGGAAAATTCATTTCCAACGGTCAGATTACTCTACGACAACGTTTCGACACGAGACAAGGAGCTTAAGTGGAACGCCGGCGTTTCTGTGCTGCTGAAGGAGAAGCCATCCTCTCGGAACGTCACCGTTTCTTCTTTCCTTTTCAGTCGTTGTTTACTTTTCACCCAAGGCTGTCTTGTTTCCCTTCCAAGCTTCAAAACAAACAGAAACTTTGCTTGTCTTCTTCCTGTAATGCTCTGCCTATAAAGGCCAGAGATTGTAATGAAATGCTCAAGTTTTTAGGGTTCAATCTTCTGTACCACTTCGTTGTTAAGAGTTGCTCCATGGGGAACTTTGTGATCTATTCGGACCCGGAAGTAGAATGATCCTGACGAGCACGAATCAACAGGTGCTCAAGGCTGTTTGTCAAGAAGTACACCAAGTCCCAGGGCTCGGTAAGGGAAAAGCCCTAAAGCTTTTCAGCTTATCCGCGTTCAAGAAGGACCGACCTCCAAATGAGTACAAGGAGATGTGTGACAAGGTTGTAGCTTACTGCGGTGGGAACCCGTTGGCTCTTAAAGTTTTGGGCTTGATGTTTTATGATAGGACGATGGGGTTTTGGGATGGTACATTGGAGAAGCTGCGAAGACTTCCCAAGAAGGAGATTCAGGATTTACTCATGATTAGCTATGACGAGTTGGATCGAGACGAGCAGAGTGCGTTCCTCGATGTTGCTTGCTTCTTCAACTACGAGGACTATGAATTCGTGACGAGGGTGTTGGATGAAGACCTGGTCACCAATTTGGTCGACAAGTCTCTTGCTGGGATTAACTATTCCAAAGGCGCGATCGAAATGCATGCATTGCTTGAGGACATGGGGAAGGAGATTGTTAAGATAGAAAAGATGCTAGGAAAACGGTCTCGGTTGTGGGAGGCCAAAGATGTGCTAAAGTTACTCTCGGAAAATATGGTACGTAGGCATCGTCTAAAATATAATAATTTGAGTTATTGGAATAACTTGAAAACGTAATTGGATGATCCCATTCATATATCTTGTTATTCTTACTACAGGGATCAGAATCAACGGAAGGAATCTTGTTGAATCTGACCGAAAAAGAGGAGAGAATCAAAACCGAATCTGATGCTTTTGAAAAGATGTGGAACTTGAGATTGCTTGGCATCGAATTAGCATCAGAAAGCATATCGGTTTTTCCTGAAGAAGGGCTCATCAAATCTCTTCCAGAGGAGCTGAGGTATCTCCGTTGGGACTTGTTCGCTGCCACATCTTTGCCATCCGGATACTCTCCCCAAAATCTTCGCGTTCTAAGGCTGAAACACAACAGCATTCGTCACTTATGGGAAGGAGCTAATGTGGTAAGTATTCTACGTTAATGTCGTTCGATCGATCGACAAGTTTTCTTTCAAATTCCATGACGTTTCTATACAATAACCTTGTACGTACGTACAACCTTCTTTGTATGCATGCATGCAGGATCTTGGGAATCTGAAAGAGCTCAATCTCACGGCATCCAAGTACTTGACCGAGGTACCCGATCTCTCGACAGCCGAAAAACTCGAGCTCATCGATCTCACCAGCTGTGGCAAACTAATCCAGCTTCACAAATCAATCATAACCCTCCCTAGCCTCAAAACCCTGATTCTAGATTCATGCAAAGCTCTCGACCTTACTAGCCTGGATGAAGAGAACACACAGAACGAGGATGTAGCTTTCCCAAGCTTGGAACAAGTAAACTTGGACGCCACGCCAATTGAAGAAGTCCCTCGTTTGCTCCTAGGAGCACAAAAGCTCACCAGAATCGACTGCTCGTCTTGCCCTAACTTGTCAAAGTTCCCATCCATCGACACTCTATATCGTAGCATGTCGATCAAACATTTGATCTTACGAAACAACAAGCTCCTTGTCCATCTCTCTGAGGCCATCTACAAGCTCAAATCTCTCCAGACGCTCGACATGTCAGGGTGCGAGAATCTCGAGAGTTTCCCCTACATAATAGTGACACTTGACGAGTTGATACGACTTGATCTGAGCTACTGTTCCAAGATATCTGAGATTCCTGGCACAATCTCACACCTCCGTAACTTGGAGAGGCTTTATCTGTCGGGCACTGGAATCGAGGATGTTCCTGTGTCCGTCTTGTCACTGAAACACCTGACCGTGTTGAAGTTGGATCAGTGTAAGAAGCTTAGGACGATCCCGGATAGCTTTGCCAAGCTGTCTCGATTGGAAACGCTGAACCTAGATGGTTGCGACATGTTGATCAATAAGGAGCCGGAGCTTCCCCGATCCATGAAAAGAACAAAGAATGACAAGCAAGTAAGTAAATAGTATACTCGCATTCTTTTTTAATATATATATATATATATATATATATATATACTAATAATATTAGTTATTCTCACATATTTGTATATATTGCAATATTTATTGTATACGTACGTAAGCATAAATTTCACATGTATGCTTGAATAGCAGGGCTGAAGATTTTAAGGACTTGTAACATGGAGACTTATGAAGCAACAAGAGTATTTTTCCCAGATTTCTCATTTTCTTATGGAGCAATCGGCGTATTTATTTCTCCAGATTTTTCTTGTGGATTTGTGTTTGTACCAGTATTGTAATCTTGTGCTGTCTGAATCGTAGTTACTGCAAACTGGGGTCATGTAAAATTTATTCACCCAGTTGGGTAAAAATAAAATGTTGAGTGTTGTTGTGTGTTCATGGTCTGATTTGTTACCTTTATTTTTCACTCCTGCAAATATGACCTTTTGGGACGGCACCCGTTGGTCGCTAATATATCATCGCCTGTGGTTACCATTATGTTTGTGCTATTTTTATTGAACTGGTTGGCGAACAGCCATCAATTAAGTTGTGTGAATTGTGAAATATATTCCACCGAGCTCGAAATGAAACGTGGGGAATTAATACAAGGAAAAACTCCTCTAATCTTCCTTTTTTTAATAAAAGGGAAGGGACTAGTTTGCATATATTTAGTTCTCAAAAAATTGCTATCAAAATCGAATTATGACACTTGACCTTGAGAAAGACAGAGCAGAAGAAAATAATTGCAGAAAGAATCCACTTTTGAAAGTGGTGGAGATGGAGAGAAATCGTGAATCCACTTTATCCCCCGAAATGGGTCAGTCAGTGTTGCTCTCACAATTGGTCTTTGTGTCCCATCTCTTTCTCTGCTGTAAGCCCACCCAACCCCAAATTATGCCAAACTTGTTCACAATAATTTGGGTAATTATTAAGTTCGGTCATTGGGTTTACTAAATATATAATATTTAGTCACTGAAAAAAAAATATTATTAGTGATAATATACCTCTATATATCCACATATCCATAAGCCCATCATCTGACAATTCCATCACTGAAAAAAAAAAGATGTCGGTATTGAAGTTGCTGTCCAACAAACAGTTCATCACCAGAGACCACCGGAAAGAGTGCTCCGACGTCGAAGTCGTAGAGTACGCCGGCGACCCGCGCGATTTCGGGATGGTCGACCTCGACGCCCGCAGCTGGGGCCATTCGTCCGTCGTCGGCCCTTCCGCCGAGGCGAAGTTCGAGGCCCTGGAGGTGTTCGGCGTCACGATCGGCGGCGAGCAACTGAAGGAGCTGATCGAGGACTTGAAGGTGGGCTGTAGTAAGGACGGCAGGGCATCGCTTTGTCTGGCGGTCAACCGTCAGGGTCTTTGTTTCGTGGCGGTGAATACGGTGAAAGGACTCAGGGGGTTGAGAGTCAACGACCACTTCGGCTGGTCCAAGTACGGTGTGGTGCCAGAAATCGGTGGCGACGACGTATGGAGCGTCTGTGACATGGGAAACGGCGACGTTTTGATGGGGCCTCCCACCGTGGACGGAAGCTGCGGTGAAGATGAAGATGGCAAGTTTTGTGGTGTGTGGAAGAAAGTGGTGGAGGAGAAGGAGAAGGTGATGGAGAAGACGGAGGCGCTGCTCAGGAAGTCGATCGAAGAGAAGGAACAGGAGGCGGCTTCTCTCAAGGCTGCCCTAAACGCCCTTACTAGTGCGGCAAATAGAAAGAAAGAAAGAAAATTAGCTTAGCTAGTGTGGTGTTCTATGTTTTTTCTATAATAATAATAAAAAAAGTGTAGATGGTTGTGTTAATGTTAATTACGTACATTATATTCAGATTTGTACAAATTTCAAACTTAAATGAGTAGATTTTATTTGTTGATGTGTCAATAATTAAGCAACATGTGATTTATGATTAAATCTCTAAACAATTCGAGTTATTTGATGCTAAAATCAATATTAATTAGGAATGAAATTATTTGATGCTAAACTGCCGGGTTGGTCCACAATACACTAAAGAATAAACCAAGTCAGTAGGCACACATTATTCCCGGCATCCTTATTCGGCGTTTGGTCACGAAATTTCGCATTTTTATAGACTGAATTTTCTGTTGGTCACTAAATGTTAGCCCACTTTTTTGCAAGGTGGATTGCTTTTTGAAAAAATGATGTTAATTATTATCTTCCTTTATCCTTTTGCTTTGTTGGTATCTTAATATTATCCAAAACAGGACGTAAGGAGTGGCTTTCAAACTTTTTCACCTATAAAGTCAAAAATGAAACATAGACTGGGGAGCAAAAATTATGTATATTAATAATCATTAGATTAATTTCAGTATACTTTTAACGATGAATTAGATATGTCGATTATTATGTTGGGACTAACTTATTGTAAGGCTTGGGTTTAAAAAATTAAGAGCTAGCGTTCTTCCATTCGTGATTAGAATATAATATTATGATATCAAATTTTGATTTATGCATCGTTTCAATAGCAAAACTCACTTAGGCGCACAACTAAGTTTAGCGTACATCTACAACGTCAGCAAAATCCGCTCACTGCCATGATTCTTGTTTTTTTTCCACTTCAACGAGTTTTGCTGCTCCTAGTTTCAATAGCTATGTTACCGCGATGGAACAAAGTATATTTCATTCGTCATTTAGTATACAAATTATTATTTTTGCTTTCACTAGACAATCTTTCACCTAATGCCTAACATTGGCTGACATATATAAAAAGCTAAGTGTTTTCTTTCCTCTTGCAAGCACATCTCCCGCCCTCTTCTTCTATACACTTTACTACTTTTGTTTTTTTCTCCATCTCGAAAAGTAACATAAGAACAAAAATAATGTCGGTCTTCAGCTTGACGTCCGACGACCAGTTCATCCGAGCAAAAGAAGGCTCCCCGGTAATTTCAGTCTACACGTTCCTCGACGACCTGAAAGATTTCGGCTTCATATTCCGGCGGACGAGTAAGCAGCAGCCCAGGCTGTCCACTTCGACCCGCGTGGGCCCCACCGCGCCCAAGTTCAAGGAGCTGGAGGTGCTCGGCGTGACCATCGGCGGCGACCGGCTGAAGGAGCTGATCGGAGATCTCGTCTTACCGAAAGAAAGCCACTATCTGATGGTCAACCGTCAGGGCCTCTGTCTCTTGCACGCCGGCGGCCCCTCCGTCGCCTGGCTGAGGCTCAACGATCGGTTCGGTTGGTTCAAGTACGGGGTCAGACCGGCAGTCGAAACCGGTACGATATGGAGCGTGTGGGACATGAGCAGCGGCGCCGTTTTGGTGGCGCCTCCACTCGGCCGCGGCCGCGGCGGCGAGGACACGTGGGAGAAGGTGGTGGAGGAGAAGGAGAAGGAGATGGAGGCGAAGGAGTCGTTGCTGAGGGAGACGCTTGAAGAGAAGGAGAAGGAGGTTGTCGCCCTCAAGGCTGCCCTGAATGCACTCACCACCGCTCACACAGTTGATTAATTGACTAATATGTTTTTGTAATTAATTAGTACTCCAATATATGTGAGGAATTTTATAATGCTATATAGCGTTGGTGCTATAGTGATTTGGCTTTATGGTATAATTTGAAATTGTACCTTTAACGTTATGATATAACTTCAGATTGTACCTACACTTTTGTACAAATTCTTTTATGGTGCAACTTAAACTTGTACCTTATGTGATGGTACAACTTCAAGTTGTAAAGTTGTACCATAACATAATGATACAAATTCCTTTGTGGTACAACCTAAACTTATACATTTAATGTTATGATATAACTTCAAGTTGTACATTAAAGCACCAATACTATATAGCATAGTAGAAGTGCTCATTATATGTGTATACATTTCGGGTTAGGTTGGTCACACTAACTCCACTTAATAAAAATTTTATTTTACTTTTGATACGAGGCAATTTCAAGACCAAGGAAATAGGATACGTTACCAAGTTCTTTAAGATGAAAACTTGATGCAATGTAGTAGTGATCTTGACTATGATCAAATTCAGCTTGTAGAATTATCTCATGCAATTTCTAAAACCAAGCACTATTCAGTTCGACAAAGGAAAAGAAGGCAATTCGGAAGCAGAGGGAGGCCAGGCTAACCTCTCGGACAAAGTTCTTCTACGGAGGGAATGATTATGGCATTTTTTTAAACTTTTATTCATGATTATTTTCTTGAAATAATTCGTTTGATTCCATTTTAGTTTTTGTTTAGGATTCGTATTAATTATGTTGTAAATTATCTTTGGTGTGAAATAATTGAGTTATTGTCGGATCAGGTCTGTTGATCAGCATCTAGTGTAGGGAGAGATTTTGATTTTTATATATATGCTCACAATTTATTTTTATAAATATTGAACCCTAACCTCCTCTTGAAAAAAAAAATATTATCATTTCTTTTAGTAGCTCCTCATAGCAATTTCCTACCGACAATTCAGAGTTTCAAACGCTTTTGCAGAGCATATAATTGTGAACAGGCTAGGGTCCCCATTTCCCTCACTGTGGTGGAATCATTTTCTCAAGTGGATGATAACCTGGCGTTGTCCTCTTTTGAAAAAGATGATGTTAATTATTTGTCCTTAACCCTTTGGCCATATACTCATATTATATCATATCCATAACAGAAAAAATAAAGGACAAAAAAATACAAAGATCTGAGATAGCGATAGTACATAACCTATCAACTCTCGATCTCGGTTCGTCTTCTTGTGCATAATGTGAATTATGATCCATATACAGTCATTCATGTGTTATGGATTGCTGTAGTTTTTTTTATATGATCCATAAACAGTTATTCGCGTCTGGATGTTATAGATTCACGGTTTCTATCATGGATTCAATTCAAACTCAACTCAAACCTAAAGTCAAAATCATTAAAGTGCGCTTGGGTATTTTAATCCGATCCTATACTCATTAAAGTATGGCAATTGAGTAAAATTAGCTAATGGGTTGCAAAAAAAAAAAAAAAAACATGTAGAATTAATTGAAGAGACGAGAAAATCCTCATATGTCATGTCTATATAGGAGAGACGACCTCAATAAGCCGAGCTCAACCCAACCATTATCGCATCATCTTCTTCTCCATCACATGCATATATGAAGGTGATGGGCTGAAAAGTGAAAACACTTGGCAGCTAGAAATATATGCATTAGCAGAGAATAATTGTGAACAGGATACGGTCCCCATTTCCCACTATATATGGTGCGATCATTTTCTCAAGTGGAAGATAGCTAGGCGTTGTCTTCTTTTGAGAAAGATGTGTTAATTATTCGGCTTTAACCCTTTGGTCGTATACTCGTATTAAAATATCATATCCAAAACAGGAAAAAGAAGAAAGATTTGGATAGTGATAGCGACATCACATAACCTAACAACTCTAAATTCGTCTCCTAGTGAATAATGTGAAATATATGATCCATAAACACTCAAATGACCCAATCACATATGACCCACCATAAGATGACCAAGTATTATTGAAAGTCTTAGTGCTCGTTAGTCGTTACTCGCGCGCTGTTGGTTATCTATAAGACTATCAACTCCGAAATCCGATAAATAAATCGATCAACTGACTTATATATTTCAATCGATCTAATTACTGAAATATGTTGATTTCTTATATCCCTCCTCTAAAATAAGACGATACATCCGTGCCTTACAGATGAAAGCCTCTCATAAGAAAGGTCCAATAAGAGTAGAGACCAACGCCAAAAGGCCAAGCTCAACACAACCATTATCGCATCATCTTCTGCCTATGAAGGTGATTGACTGAGACCAAGCATTACCCACTCGCACATTTTTGGCACCTTTTGTTCCATTACTTTTCTTCTGGTTGATTCTTCCCATCTCTTTTCTCTCATGTAACCTTTTGCTTTATATCAAATTCTAGCCACTTCTTTTCTCTGAGGAAAAGAAGCTCCACACACAAAACCCACACTTCCAAGCGTTCTAGCTAAGCCTTCTTCACCTTCATCTCATGGACACTTCTCGGCCTCCTCCTCCTCGTGGTCGTTTCCTTGTTCACCCTTCCAAGAGAAACTTAGAACCTCCACCTCGTGGCCGTTTTCTTATTGTTCGTGGGACGATTCAACATCCTCCTAAACCTCTTCCTCTTGATCCAGATCCTCCCTCGCTTCCTGATCGTCCTATTCGTCTTCAACCTATCGACGAAAAACCTCCTCCTTTCGATGATCAAAATGTAGCCGATCAACCTCCTCCCTCGCCTCCTGATCCTGTTCTTCTTCAACCTATCGACGAAAAACCTACTCCTTCCATCGACGTTCAAGATACAGTAGTTGATCCTGTTCCTCCTCCTCAGCCTGTCGATGAAAAAACTAGTACTCCTCCCGACGACGATCAAATTACAAACGATCTCTTGCCCAAGTACGATGCATTCATCAGCTTCAGAGGAACCGACGTCCGGAACTTCTTCCTCAGCCACCTCTTCGCCTACATGAACAACGAAAAACACATCCTCACCTATGAGAAGAAAAGAAGAAAGCGGCTAGGTTTTTGGTGAAGGGTCTCAAAACCTTGAGATCTTCGTTTTCGATTTCTCATTTATATACCCAGCAACCTTTACAAACCCAGAACACTTAACGGCTAATCTACAGTAATTAACTAACAATTGAAAACGAACCAATAACAAAGCAACATGTGTCTGCAAGACACAAACCAAATCGCTACGACAGGCAACTAAGAAGGACGGCGTCGTGTTGGCACATCTCTTTCTTCTTTAGAGGAGACGACTGCGTTTTGCTCCAAAGCAGTTCCTGGATTAAAGCAAAACGCCACCGTTTCTTCTGGGCTTGTGTTCTTCGTGTGCAGCTTCCATCAGCAGTAGCAGACTCAGGACAAGTTCTTCATTCAAGCTTCAGCTGCTACTGCTTCTGGTTCATATCTCCATTACCCCCCCACAAGCTGGCGAGGATCGTGCAGAAACTCCCAGCTTGTCCATCAACATATTAAAACGATCAATACCAAGACTTTTGGTAAAGATGTCTGCAAGTTGGAAGTTTGTTGAAACATGCTTCAAATCAATCAAACCATTCATCAGTCTTTCACGAATAACATGACAGTCTACCTCAATGTGCTTTGTTCTTTCATGAAAGACTGGATTCCTAGCAATATGTATTGCTGATTGGTTGTCACAAAACACCATAGCTGGTTGGGAATGCTTTACTCCAAAGTCTGAAAGCAATCTCATCAGCCATTGCAACTCACAACTCAACTGAGCCAAGGCTCTGTACTCTGCCTCTGAAGAGGATCTAGAAACTGTACTCTGTTTCTTTGTTTTCCAACTAATCAAACTAGTTCCCAAGAACACACAAAACCCTGTTAGTGATCTCCTTGAATCTGGACATGTAGCCCAATCAGAATCACTATAACCTGTCAACTGAATAGCAGAATTCTTAGGGTAAAATAAACCTTGTCCTGGTGAACTGCTCAGGTATCTAAAAACCCTTTGTAGAGCCTTGTAATGCACTGAAGTTGGAGAGTCCTGGAACTGACATAGTTGCTGAACAGCAAAGCTGATGTCAGGCCTTGTGCTTGTCAAATACTGCAACTGCCCTAGCAGATGCTTGTATTTACTGATGTCCAGAAAAGGATCACCATCTGCAGCTGAAAGCACTTGTTTAACACTCGAAGGTGTCTTTGCAGGTTTACACTCATCAAAGCCTGCTTCTTTTAACAACTCAGTGCAATATTTTCTTTGTGACACATGAATTCCTTCTGCTGTTCTGTTAACTTCTAAACCAAGGAAATACTGCAATTCCCCCAAGTCCTTCATCTTGAACAAAGACTTTAACATGTTCTTCACAGTTTTAACAGCATCCAGATCCTCACTTCCCACAACAATATCATCCACATAAACAATAAGGATAACAAGATGTCCTCTTATATCAGTCAAAAAGATTGAATAATCTGATTTAGACTGTCTAAAACCATTAGCCAGTAATGAATCAGTTAGCTTAGCATACCACATTCTGCTAGCTTGCTTTAATCCATAAAGTGATTTCTTCAACTTGCACACCTTCCCCTTATACTCAGGTTTGTTTCTCATTCCCTCAGGCAATTCCATATACACATCTTCTTCTAATTCTCCATTCAAAAAGGCATTGTTAACATCCATTTGATGTAAATGCCAACTGTTAACAGATGCCACGGCTAACAACATTTTAACTGAGGTCAACTTTGCTACAGGAGAAAAGGTATCACAATAGTCAATACCATAGATTTGTGTATATCCTTTAGCTACTAAACGTGCTTTAAATCTTTCAATTGAACCATCTGGATTGTACTTAATCCTGAAAACCCATCTGCACCCAATTGCCTTAACTCCCCCTGGCAAGTCAGTAATGTCCCAAGTATCATTATCAAAGAGTGCTTTTAACTCTTCAATCATGGCTGCATTCCACCTGGAATCCTGAGCTGCTTCTGCATAGCAAGAAGGCTCAAAAGCTGCTGCAAGGATCAGTGCAAAATGCTGTTGCTCTGGTGAAAGATGAGCCAGGTCTGGTGGTATGGGGATCTTGGGATCAATACTGACTTGATTCAAACCCACATAAAAGTCATTAAACTTCTTAGGAAAAGTTGTTTGCCTTGTAGATTTCCTAAGAGGTACTACTGGTGGGGAAGAAGGAGGAACAGGAGGAGGTGATGAATCAGATGAAGCAGAACTGGTGTCTGAAACATCATCATTGGTAAAAGGAGTAGCAGATTTGCCTGGTGGGGAAGGAGATAGGGGTGTGGTTTTGACAGAAGGAGAAGAATAATCTGTCAAGTCAGGCTCAAAAACAGGAGAAGAACCAGAACAAGAAGGTTCTCCTGGACAGAAAGAAGACATTGGAACAGAAGTGGAAGGAGCATCTTCTGTTGAGTCATGAGCAGATTTACCAGTTTTGTAAGGCAAAATGTGCTCATGAAAGATCACATCTCGATTAACAAACACTTTGTTTGTGTTAAGATCCAACAATTTGTATCCTTTAATGCCATGAGGGTAGCCTAGAAAGACACATTGATTGGATCGAGGATCAAACTTCAACTTATGACCCTCTACAGCAGTGGCATAAGCCAGACAACCAAATACCCTCAAGTTCATGTAATCTGGTGGTACCTTATGCAGTACCTCAAAAGGAGTTTTGTGATTAAGGATAGGAGTAGGAGTCCTGTTAATTAGATAGGCTGCATGTAAAACAAAATCTCCCCAAAAGGTCAAAGGTAAACCAGATTGAAATTTCAATGATCTAGCCACATTCAGCAAGTGCTGGTGTTTTCTCTCAACTCTCCCATTTTGTTGTGCTGTATAAACACAACTCATTTCATGAACAATACCATGAGCTGAGTAGAACTCAGTCATGTGAAACTCTTGGCCTTGGTCTGTTCTAATGGTTTTAACTGAAACTGAAAATTGGTTCTTTACCATTAGACAGAAAGATTGAAGTGTTGGCCTGGCATCAGCCTTTGATTTGAGAAGAAAAACCCACACTGCTCTACTATGGTCATCAACTACAGTAAGAAAATAAGAGAAACCATCTCTGGAAACAGTGTTTAATGGCCCCCAAATGTCTACATGTATCAACTCAAAAACTTGTGAACTAACTGAGGTGCTTACTGGAAATGGCAACCTCTTTTGCTTAGCTAAGTGACAAGTTTCACAATGCTGTGTCAAAGGAAGAGAAACCTCATTACAAGTTTGTTTCACAACTTTCAGTCTAGACAAAGATGGATGTCCTAATCTAGCATGCCAGATGTTAAAATCTTGGCTTTGGAAATTGAACACTGCTGCTGCAAACTTCTGTGAATCCTTAGAAACTCCAAACTGTTGACCCTGGAACTCAGTAAAAAGGTAAAGACCTCTATCAACTTGGGCTAAACCAATCCTCCTCCGAGTAATAAGGTCCTGGATGACACAAAAGTTGGATTTGAAAGTCAATGAGACTGGATGATTTTTGGTTAACTTGCTTACAGAAACTAAATTGTAAGCAAAGGAAGGAACAAAGAGGACTTGAGTTATGAACAATCCACAAGGCAAAGTAACTATCCCTATATGTGTGGCTTGAACCTGTTGTCCATTAGGCAGATTAACAAAGACCTGATTCAGGGGCTTATGTTTCATGAAGAAACTTTTATCACATATGATGTGATCTGTTGCCCCTGTATCCAAAACCCATACTGTGCCACGAGATGATTCAACCACAGAAGAAAGGACTTGTTTACCTGAAGAGTGTGATGCATAATGGGAATGCTGTGTTGAGACAGATGGAGAACCAGCTGGTTTCTTTCCTGACTGTGAGCCTCTAACAGCAACTGCTGCAGAATGCTGAACACCAGGAGAATTAGGAGGAGAGGGTGATGCAGATGGTGATCGATTAAGCAGAGTTCTGAGTTGTTCAAACTGGTTGGGAGTGAGCAAACTCAGAAGATCACCTTCCCCTTTTCCTCCACCATGACCAGTAGCATTAGAGCCATCACCTTCTGATGGAGTAACTTCTACTGAACCAGCAAAAGAACCTTCTCCTTCTCTACTTTGTTTGTTTTTCAACTTGTAACATTCCTCAATAGTATGGTACTCCTTCTTGCAGAACCTACACCACTTCTTCCCATCTTTGTAGTCTCTAGGATTTCTGCCTCCTTGAGTACCTTTCTGTTGCTTAGACTGTTGTCCAGCCATCAATGCAACTGATTCCACTCTTCCTTTTTCAGACTGTAACCCTTTCAGCTGTCTTTCCAGTTGAACCATCTGCTTAAAAACTGATTCAATGGGAGGCAGCTGTGCATTCATCAATACCTGTGTTCTTGCTGATTGAAACACATCATTAAGGCCTTGCATGAATTTGATGATCAAATCATGCTCTTGGTATCTCTGAATTGTAAAGAAAGGGCTATTTGGGCAGGGACAGCATGAAACTGGCCTATACATCTTGTATTCTTGCCATTTAGTTGTCAGAGCAGTGTAATACTGAGTAACTGTAAGGTTTCCTTGAACACACTTCCTAATCTGCTCATTCAATTCATAAACCCTCATATTGTCAGCCTGGCTGAACCTATCTTTCAGATTATCCCACACATCTTTGGCTACTTTGTAAGGAACCACACTGTTTGCTATATCATCTGAAAGGGAGTTATAGATCCAGCAACGCACAGTGCTATCACACCTGTGCCAAGACTGCCAAATGGGATCTCCCATCTGGGGTACAGGAATCAATCCATTCACAAATTGCAGCTTGTTCTTAGTACTAAGAGCAAGTTCCATTACCTGACTCCAGAGATTGTAATTCTGGTCAGTTAGCTTCATCGAAATGATAGTTGTCAAACCTCCATCGTGAGGTGGCAGGTAGTAAGGGTTGAGGTAAGGATCCTCATAGCGAGGAATCACTGGAGGAACAAAAGCATCCATCTGACGTCGAGCATTTGCACCTTGAGGAGTTCGCGGTAAGGTGGCGTCGTTGGCTGAAGCAATCTCATCTTCAGTCTCCACTTCATCAGCAACGAACCCATCCACTTGTGCTTCTTGAGTAGACATCGTCTGGATCTATAAATGAGAAATCGGCAGCGCAGAAGCCTGGATCGAGGTTAGCAAAGCCAACCAGGCTCTGATACCATGAGAAGAAAAGAAGAAAGCGGCTAGGTTTTTGGTGAAGGGTCTCAAAACCTTGAGATCTTCGTTTTCGATTTCTCATTTATATACCCAGCAACCTTTACAAACCCAGAACACTTAACGGCTAATCTACAGTAATTAACTAACAATTGAAAACGAACCAATAACAAAGCAACATGTGTCTGCAAGACACAAACCAAATCGCTACGACAGGCAACTAAGAAGGACGGCGTCGTGTTGGCACATCTCTTTCTTCTTTAGAGGAGACGACTGCGTTTGCTCCAAAGCAGTTCCTGGATTAAAGCAAAACGCCACCGTTTCTTCTGGGCTTGTGTTCTTCGTGTGCAGCTTCCATCAGCAGTAGCAGACTCAGGACAAGTTCTTCATTCAAGCTTCAGCTGCTACTGCTTCTGGTTCATATCTCCATTAACCTACAAGGACGACGTGAACCTCAAACGAGGCGACATCATCGCTCCGTCCCTCATCGAGGCGATCGAGAGATCCTCGTTGTACGTCGTCATCTTCTCCCCCAACTACGCGACTTCTCGTTGGTGTCTCGACGAGCTCGTCAAGATTTTGGAGTGCACGAAAAAGTACGGGCGGAAGATGATTCCGGTGTTTTACGGTGGAGTGACACCTTCTCATGTTAGGAACCAAGAAGAGAGCTACGCGGATGCATTTGTTGAACACAAGGCCAAGTTTCCCAATGACGAGGCCAAACTCGAAAACTGGAAAGCTGCGCTCAAGGAAGCCGCCGACACTTCTGGGTTTGATTCCCAAGTCACCACGTACGTATTAATTTTTTTTACGGGTTTATTAATGTTTTATTTTTCATAATAAAATTAAAAATATATATACACGCATCACGAATCAAATTAAAAAATATATATATTATGGTCGAACGCTATACGGGACGGAAACTTTTAGAGGTCGTTTGGAAGTTGCGATTGTTTTGTTGAGATTGTCATTATGCATGTATTGTTTACAATGCATCGTTTTTTTGTTTTTTTAGTAGAAACAATCCATGTATTGTTTCTGTGATGTGACAGAAACTATCACTCATTTTGATTGATTGTTATATCTCAACTTTTAGTTGTGATTGTTGAGATAATTGAGTTGAGATTGTTTTGTCTCAGCTTTTAGCTAATGCGACATACACAATCACACATACCAAACGTTGTATTCTACAATGCATCAAATTCGACAATACATGTATAATATTATACATGCATTCTTAACAATACATCTATTTAACAATCGCAACTTCCAAACGAACCCTTAGTCACCTAAAATATATTAATTTGTGGGGAAATAAAGTAGGAATACATTATGTTTTTTTTTAATAATGGCGATGAATAATGTTGATATGGGAAAAAGGCAAGTCCATGAAACCTCACAAGAAGAAAGACAAAAGAAAAAAGGCAAGTCCATAAGAAACCTCACAAGAAGAAACAACACTGAGATAAGATTAGATAACTATACATACAATAAAATAAGAGTCGGACTTTTAAAAGTATGTAAAAACTTTCATTAACCATCCTTTTCTTTGCAAGTAATTGAATTTTATGAGTGGAACTCGTCAAGCAGAATTAATAACTTTCTTTCTTGATCTAGGCCTGAGAGTCATCTGGTCAAAGAAGTGACTAAACGTGTGCTAGAAGCACTTAGGCCAAATTCTTCTCCTATCACAGAAGGACTGGTCGGTATCGAGTCGGAGATTGAAGCAGTTGATAAATTACTGGAGACTGATCCACAACGCAATCGCGTAATAGGGTTTTGGGGAATGCCCGGAATTGGCAAGACAACCCTAGCCAATTCTATCTTCCAAAAAACCGATCCAGACGTATTCGAAGGACGACATTACATCCCCGATTTCGCAGTCCAGTTGAAGACCAAGACGGTGAAGGATCTGCAAAACGAACTCTTCAAGGTGTTGCTACGGGACGATAATCCACAAGACATTGCATTTGGTCACAAGCTCAGTCGCCTCCGTCGTCTGAGGGCGTTCGTCGTCATCGATGATGTGACGAGTGCAAGCATGCAAGCCCTAGAAGAGCTGCTCGATTGGAAGTTCTGCAATCTGTTTGGACCGGGAAGTCGAATGATCCTGACGAGCACGAATCAACAGGTGCTCATTAATGCTTGTCAAGAAGTGCACCAAGTCCCGGGCCTCGACGAGGAGAAAGCCCTTCAGCTTTTCAGCTTTTACGCCTTCAAGAAGGACCAACCTCCAGACGAGTACAAGGAGAGGTGTGAAAAAGTGGTAGCTTATTGTGGTGGAAACCCACTGGCCTTGAGAGTTTTGGGCGTGGCGTTCTACAAGAAGAAACTAGAGCTTTGGGATCTGACATTGGAAAAGTTGAGGACACTTCACAAGAAGGACATTCAGGATTTGTTGATGATTAGCTACAACGAGTTGAGTCGAGACGAGCAGAGTGCGTTCCTCGACATCGCTTGCTTCTTCAACCACGATGACTATGATTTCGTGACGAGAGTGTTGGATGAAGATTTCGTCACCAATTTGGTTGACAAGTCTCTTGTCGGGATCAACTATTCCAAAGGAAAGATAGAAATGCATGTTTTGCTTGAAGATTTAGGGCAGGATATCGTTGAGGCGGAAACGGATCCTCGAAAACGAACTAGGTGGTGGGAAGCCAAAGATACCCTAGATTTGCTAGCAGAAAACAAGGTAAATATAGAATTATTTATATCTCATTCTGTAACTCGAATTATTTGTACGGACGTACAGTATTACATAAACTAAATTACATGTTTGTTCGCTCGATTTTTGTTCACTCAGGGAACAGAAGCAACAGAAGGAATCTGGTTGAGTTTGAATGAAAACGAAGAGAAGATAGAAACTGAATCTTCTGATACATTTGCAAAGATGTGGAATCTGAGAGTGCTTTCCATTCAATTAGCACCAGAAAGCAAAGTAGTTTTCCCTAATGGCGAAGGTCTCATCAATACTCTCCCGCGCAAGCTAACATATCTTCGTTGGGACTTGTTTGCTGCCACATCTCTGCCCTCCAAATTCTGCCCCGATAAGCTTCGAGTGCTAAGGCTGAAACACAACACCATCCGTCAGTTGTGGGAAGGAGCTAAGATCGTAAGTATTTCGTACCTCATGTGATCTCACTATACATAAAATTTCCTAATCGAGCTCATGTGTCCGTGCAGGATCTTGGGAATCTGAGGGAGCTCAATCTCACAGCATCCAAATACCTAACCAAGCTACCCGATCTCTCAACAGCGAAAAAACTCGAGCTCATCGATCTTACCAGCTGCGAGACACTCATCGAGCTTCACACATCAATCATCTACCTCCCAAGCCTCAAAACCCTAATTCTGAATTCCTGCAAAGCTCTCAACCTTAGTAGCCTGGACGAGGAGGAGACAAACGGGACCTTAGCTTTCCCACGTTTGGAGCAAGTAAACCTGGACGCCACGCCAATCGAAAAAGTCCCTCGATTGCTCCTACGAGCACCAAACCTCACAAAAATCGACTGCTCGAGCTGCCCAAACTTGTCGAAATTCCCATCCATCGACGCTCTCGTCAGCAGTAGTAGTAGCATGTCGATCGAACATTTGATATTTCGAAACAACAAGCTCCTCCTCGATTTCCCGGTGAAGATCCACATGTTGAATTCTCTCCAGACGCTCGACTTCTATGGTTGCGAGAATCTCGGTTCGTTCCCCGAGATCGCGACCACCATGGAAAAACTGCTCGTGCTCGATCTGAGCTACTGTTCGAAGGTATCGAGGATTCCCAACACGATCCGGAATCTTGCGAACTTGGAGAGGCTTTGTCTGTCTGGCACCGGGATCAAGGAGCTTCCTTCGTCCGTCTTGACGTTGAAGCGCTTGACCGTGTTGAAATTCGACGAGTGCAAGAAGCTCGTGAAGATCCCACGGAGCTTTAGGGAGCTGAGTCATTTGGAAACGATGGCGTTTACAGGTTGCGACGCGCTGAGCAATGAGGAGCTGTTGCTTCCCGATCGAGTCCATGTTTTATAAGAAAATGAATCGAGAGGCGTCCTTTTGCGACTGTAAAAATTGGTTGCTATCTCAACTTTTGGTTGTGTATGTACAGTATTTAGCTACTAATTAAATATGTTTCTGTTATTGGTTACTGGTCTTCGAACCTTCGACGTATCTTGCATGCATGGAGATAGATAGTTCTCAACCTTCCATCAATCTACGTGTGAAATCAGTGCAACTTGATGTTGGAAGGCAAGTTCGAACCCTGCTCGAAAGTGAAGATGGCGCCAAGAAGAAGAGTTTAGATTTTGTTTAAGTGTCGTAGTTTTAGGAGTTTAAAATTACGTTGTTTGGTTATTTGCTTGCAAAAAGAAAAAGAACTGCCCTATTTAGTGATGATAGTGGAGAATGGAGATGGAAATGGTAGGGGTGGGCATTGGTGCGGTTCGAACTGCACCGTACCGCTTTAATATAAACCGCACCGTACCGCTTTGATTGGACCGTACCGCATGTTGGACCGCAATGTAATCGGTGCGGTCAAACCAAACTGCATAGGTTAGCGGATTGGTACGGTTTAGCCCGCACCGCATGTTTGACCGCAATTCTTAATGAAACAAATAGATATTGTTTTTCCCTATCCGAATCTGTTGAACTGTACTAATTACCATTGACAGAGGCAATGCTACTTTCTTGTAGAAATGAGGCCCAACAAATTAAACCAATTTTGTAACAGATAAATCTAAAGAGAGCATGCTTTCCTGGAGCAATATAAAGAGGTCCATCTTCTTCTCATAACAGAAAACAGAGCATACAAAAAACAGAGCATAAAAGAAATTTGCAGAGATGCACTAAAGTAAACACATGACAGACAAGTCACTTGCCAAAATCATGGAATGATCTTACACTGACTTGAACCTGCAAAGGGAGGGAGAAGGAATGAAGTTAAAATTGCAATCTCATGTTGGTGGGTCGTCTTTTCTTGATCACCATTACACAGCTGATATGTTCATTATTCCAAGAGCAACTTCTACAACTGCTTCTTCCTTGTCAATTCATTATAGTTTTAGCGAAATAGTAAATCATTTCCTTCACAATTCAAGTCCTTCTTTTGGTGTACTTCATATCCATAAAAAGTTTGTTCTTGTTGCTCGTGGATCTCAGCTTTGTTTCGGGTTAATTGTGGAAGAATTATTGCAAAAGAAGTACAGATGTTAAAGACAAAACTGGATCGGTATATTGGAATTTGCAGCTTTGTTAACTGAAGCTGCCAGAGAGGTATGATCAGCCTTGGCAGCAAAGTAGCTAGTTTTGGAATGGTTCGGCTTGGTAAAGTTTTGAATGACATGATTTCGTTGCGGTTTGCGGTTTGAACCGCAACCGCGCGGTTTCGGTTTGAACCTACCGCGAACCGCATAAAATATAGACCGAATACTTGACCGCAAGCTTAACGGAGCGATCCGGTTTGACCGCATATGCGGTTCGGTGCGATTTGGTGCGGTCTGACCGCACCGATGCCCACCCCTAGGAAATGGACTGGTCAATCAACTTTAACATCAAATTGGCAAATAGGGTCGTCTCTTTACCTGTTCACAATTATGTTATTCTCCGTTATATGAGTAGAACCACTCCATCAAAAGAAATTTCCACTTTGGTTTAGTTTTGTTGATTTCTTTCTGGACACGAAATATTAGGACAGATCAGTTACCATCACAATTGTTGGAAAATGTTTGACAATAAATACTATATCAAAGATTAACACGCTCCAAAATGCGAAAGCCACTCATACACGCTTGAAGACAGCCAAGATCCTCCAAGTGTACATCTTTCTATAAAGACGCCCAAGATCCTCCGCCCGAATCAATCTGAACCAAAATTAAAAAATGATTGTATTCTTGGATAATGGAGAACCAACTCTACCACCTGATCTTCTCCCTGAACTCCACTCCGATCGAGATCCCTCCAGAGAATTGGCAATCAACTTCCTCCGCCATGAATCACGTTCAACACCAGACCTCCAAAGCCACTTTACACAGGAGAGCCGAGTTCATGGATTCGATATCGTGCCAATTGCAGCCAAATAGATCGACAACGTGGGTAGGGCCATCGACTTCTGCAATGAGATACATAACTGTTTTGTCCGAGTCCTGTGATTGCTTGGAAGCACACTTAGCAAATTAATGTCGCAGAAACATTCAGGATTTCATCAGTAGTAGCATCTCAAACCCCTCAAATGTAGATTTTAGTCTCCCTTCATTCAAATTTCTCATTCCACCACTGAGCATCACAAAAAATAATTGTGTCATCAACATATAACAGATGAGTAATCTCACCTTTTTGCTCTTCTTCGTTCATAAAGAAACCTGTAAGCCCGCCAGCAGTCTTGATCTCATTAAGGATGAAGGAAAGAATATCCATGACAATAGCAAAAAGAGCAGCAGACAATGAATCACCTTGTCCAAGGCCCTTCTCCATAGGGAAAAATCCACATAATCCATTGATTTGGGAAGCCTAAAACAGTAAGAACCGAGAAAAGGACAAATTGGGAGTTGTTATGCTATATTGCTATGTGCTATTGCTATCTCTCAGCTGTTTGGTTATTTCTTTCTCTCTCTTTTGGACATGAGAGTATAAAGCCAAAAGGTTTAAAGGAAAATAATTAACACCGTCTTTTCAAAAAGAAGACAACACGTACACAATCTCCCCATCAAATCAAATGATCCAAAGCTTGAGAAAACGATGGCACTATGAAAAGACAGAACAGATGATAATGGTGGAAATGGAGAGAAATCGTCAATCAACTTTAGCAGCACATTTGGTCCGAGTCCCATCTCTTCCGCTAGCTGTCTAGCACCAAATTGAGAAACTGGACCCCCCCTGTTCACAATTACTTTGACAGACATTTCTATCTCCTGAAATGCTCTCTGAAAAGCTCTCTGAAACCCCACCGGCGACAGGAAATCTCAACCCTTCTGATAGGCCGCCGGACCAAGGAGTGACACCGGTCCCTCTGCAATGTATTCCAACTGTGACCCCAATCTCGATCATCGAAGGAAACACCCCAGGGAGCGAGTCCATGGCGGTCGATGATCAACCGAACCTTTCCGATGAAGGAGCTTCGAAGACAGGACCTATTTCTTATGCGAGTGCTGTCACCGGAGCTCCTGCCAGCCCTGCTGCGGGGATGGTATCCTGGACACCAGTCGGCGAACATGATTTAGTTCAAGGTCTTTTCAACGGGGAACCCGAGCTGAAAGTTTCCGACAGTTTCAGATCCAAGTTAAGCAAACCCTGGCAGCGATCTTTGGTGGTGCGCACCTTAGGGCTCCAGATATCCTTCACTACGTTTAACAATAAGCTTCGTGCTCTATGGCGACCCACAGGATCAATGGAGGTCATGCTCCTCGGATCTGAATGCTTTATGGTGAAACTCAGCAATGACGGGGACTACTTCCGAGCTCTCACGGAGGGACCTTGGACGATTTTCGACCACTATTTGCTGGTCCAACAATGGACACCAGAATTTCGTCTCTCTGATAAGCTCCCGAGCTCGATGATCATCTGGGTCCAGCTCCCAGCTTTCCCGGTCCACTTCTACCATAAGGAGGTGCTCTTCTCGCTGGGGAATATGATCGGACGCACTATCAAGCTTGATTATCACACCCTTCATCAACAGCGGGCAAGATTCGCTAGGATTGCGGTGGAAATCGATCTAGCAAAGCCACTGGTGACCAGAGTTCGGCTTGATGGAGCATGGCAATACTTGGAGTATGAAAATCTACCGGTTTGCTGTTTTGAATGTGGGAAAATCGGCCATACTAAGGAGACCTGCCCCAACCTGAAACCCCCCTCTCCTCCGCAGCTAAGCTTGGTGGTGGCTGGGGTCTCGCCGTCGCCGTCGCCGGAAACGACTACCGCGCCGGAAGAGAAATCAACATTCGGACCTTGGATGCTTGTTACCCGGAAATCGCGGCGAGGAAATAGCACCACAAGAAAAGGAAATTCCGATTCCTCTAATAATGACAGCGGATACCAAGTTAAGAGCGGAAATGGAAAGGCCACCGCGAGAGAGGGCTACGCCACAGCCGAAATTTCCCAGGGAGCCAATCGCGCGGGGCCTCAACGGGCTGAAGGAGGAAATGGCGGAAATAAATCAGACAAGGATCGGGGGTCTATGGCAGGGAAAAAGGGGAAAGATGGATCAGAGGATGGTGCGTCCATGGCAGGGAAAAAGGGGAAAGATGGATCAGAGGATGGGTACGGTAAGGAAAGAGGGAAAAGCATTCTCGGCCCAGTCCCTCCTAAACAGCACTCCAACTCTCCAAGGCCCAAAAACGCTCCCCCTAAGAACAATGGGCCGTCGGGATCAGGCACTAAGCCCATTCAACTTCCTAGCCCTCGGAAAGTGCTCTTTGCTGGGTTGGATCAGACCCCAAGCTCTCCCTCACTGACAACATTACCCAGCGCAAAAGGAACGACCATACAACTGGTTATTCCGGCCCAACCGAAAGGAAGTGCCGACCAACCAGTAGTGGAAAGCTCGCCATCTGCTTCGGCTCGCACCAAAGGTCTGAAAAAGCAAAGGAAGAAAAATAAATCGCCAGGCAAAGCGTCGAGACCGATGGCAGCAAAGGCGCTTCAAATCTGGACTCCGGTAAAAGAAAGGAAAAGCAAGGCACGATCGAAGATGGCGGCGCTAACGCTCCAAGAGATCGAAGCGTGGACTGGCGCGGCCAACCGGGCAGAGAGAGTCGAAGTCCTTGAATCCATTCCCGGCGACAGCACCTCGGCGGCAAAGGAGAAGGCCATTCAGCCCTCCTCCAGCTGATTTTGGACCCTCTCGGCTGCTCGCCCTTTCCTGCCCCTCTTTTGTTCTCTTTTAATTTTTTCTTTCCGCCATGTCTGTTAGTTATTCAATGAATTGCAAAATCATTGCCTGGAACATTGGAGGTGCGGGTAGCGCTGCATCCTCCAGAGCTCTTAAGCTAATCGTCAAGAATTATAATCCTGACTTTTTGTTTGTTTTGGAACCGCAGGTGAGTGGAGGCTCTGCCAACAAAATTTGTGAACGGATGGGATTCCCAAACATCATGAGAGTAGAAGCTGAGGGGAGAAAAGGAGGCATCTGGCTCTGCTGGAATGCTGCTGTTTTCCAGCTTCAAGTGCTCTCTGCGTGCTCTCAACATTTGTCGGTTATAGTCTCAGCTGGGTCTTCCCCTAAATGGTTGCTTACTGCAGTCTATGCTAGCCCCCATCAGTCTCAGCAGCACAGTTTGTGGCGAGCTCTCCATCATACCAGCCAATCGAACGATCTGCCTTGGATTCTCTCCGGGGATTTCAACGCCATCCTGAAGCCGGAGGAGAAATCAGGCCATCCCTCCCCTTCCACTCTCTATAAATGCAGAGTCTTCAGTGACAGAGTAAATCAGGCCGAGCTGATTGATCTTGGCTTCTCAGGCCCGCGTTTCACTTGGACAAGAGGGGACAACCCCAACACGTACAAGGCTAGCCGCATAGATAGAAGCCTCTGCAATACTATGTGGAACTCGTGCTTCCCGAATACTTCCGTCAAGCATCTCCCCCGCCTCCACTCGGACCATCACCCTATTCTCACCACCATTGGAATCCAGGGAGTCAACTCCTCTGTTACTCGTCCTTTTCGTTTTGAAGCGGCTTGGCTAACTAGTAATGTTTTTGACCAGGTTGTCGAGGGAGGATGGGACCACCAGGCTAGCCTGCCGGCTGCCCTTGAGAAGATGGCGACCAACCTCAACCACTGGAATAAAACTTCTTTCGGGAGCATCTTCCATAAGAAGAGGAGGCTGATGGCCCGTATCCATGGGATACAGGAAAAGATGGCCACATCTTTTTCCTTGGGTCTCTTCAAGCTTCAAACCAAGTTAGAGAGAGAGTTGGACGAGGTTCTCGAGCAGGAGGAGCTCTTCTGGTTCCAACGGTCAAGGGAAAAATGGGTTCAGCAGGGAGAGCGGAACACTGGTTACTTCCATAATCAGGCGATCATCCGCAGGCGCAGGAACAACATTAACAGCCTCAAAGGAGCTAATGGGGAATGGATCTCTGATCCCCAGGAGCTAGCGGATTGGGTTTTTAATGTTTTTGCTTCGCTTTTTGTGCAGGACGACAACAACTATGAGGATCTCATGCCCAGAGGAGCTTTCCCCCGCCTTAGCCAGGAAGATTTTACCGCGCTGCTGAGACCGTTTGGAGCCGAGGACATTTACCGGGCGATTCATGAGATGAAGCCCTTGCAAGCGCCGGGCCCTGACGGTTTCCATGCAGCCTTCTACCAGCGGGAGTGGAGAGTTGTGGGTAAATCACTGATTAATATGGCTATGGAATTTTTTAATGCAGGTGGTCTTCCGGAGAATGTCACAGACTCGACTGTGGTCCTCATTCCTAAAGTGGAGCACCCGGAAATGGCGTCCCAGCTCAGACCCATATCTCTCAATAACGTCTGCCTGAAAGCGATCACGAAGGCCATTACCAACAGGCTGAAACCAATCATGAGGAAGCTGGTCTCCCCCCGCCAAAGCAGCTTTATCCCGGGTCGTCAAACCACCGATAATATCATTGTTTTGCAGGAGGTCCTCCACACTCTTCGGAAGAAGAAAGGAAAAAGAGGAGGGATTGTGATGAAAATCGATTTAGAGAAGGCTTATGATCGGCTGAGGTGGGACTTCTTGCGGGACACTCTCAAGGAAATGGGGCTCCCCAGCTCCTGGATAGGGTGCATCATGTACTGCGTGGAGCATAACAGAATGCGCCTTCTCTGGAATGGAGAGCTATCCCAACCCATCACCCCTTCCAGAGGGGTTCGTCAGGGAGATCCTCTATCCCCTTACCTTTTTGTCTTATGCATGGAGCGTTTGTCCCACCGGATTGATCGGGCTGTTCAGGATAAGCTTTGGCGGCCGCTTAAGCTGTCCAAGGATGGCCCGCCTCTCTCTCACCTGTTTTTTGCCGATGATCTTGTGTTGTTTGCAGAAGCAGGGGGGTCGCAGATCAGAATTATTAAACAATGCTTGGATGACTTCTGTAGCAGCTCTGGGCAGAGGGTAAATTTTCATAAATCAGCCATGTTCGTTTCCGCGAACATCTGCAGAAGACAGGCGAGATCCCTGAGCGCGCGTATGGAAATCCCCCTGACGGTGGATCTTGGGAGATATCTCGGGGTCATGGCAATTCATGGCAGAGTGACTCGGGGCAGATACCAGGACCTTTTTCTCAAAATTCAGAGGAAACTAGCTCCGTGGAAAGCTAAGCAACTCTCTCTTGCTGCCCGTTTGACTCTTGTTAAGTCAGTTACTGCGTCCATACCAGTGTATCCTATGCAGGTGGAGCTTATGCCCAAAATGATCTGCAAGTCGCTGGATAGAGTTAACCGTGGTTTCCTCTGGGGAGATTCAGAAGAAAAAAAGAAGCTCCACCTGGTGAGATGGCAGCAGTTGACCCTTCCGAAGGAGCAGGGAGGACTCGGACTGCGGCCTGCGAGAGAAGTCAACCTGGCAATGTTAGCTAAGTGCGGGTGGAGACTTCTGACAGAGAAAGAGACTCTTTGGGCTCAGCTAATGAGATCGAAGTATGGCAAGGGCAGGGAGAATCTTGACATCATCAAACCTCTAAAGGGAAGTTCCTTTACCTGGAACAGCATTTCCAAAGCTGGGGATTTGCTGAAAAAGGGCTGTGGATGGAATATTCATAGAGGAAATCTCACCCGCTTCTGGTCTGATATTTGGATTTTGCAGGTTCCTCTAAAGGAAGTGGCTATCAGCCCAATCCCGGAGGAGGAGATGAACGCCATGGTTGCTGACTATGTGGATGAAGAAGGAACCTGGCTAACAGAAAAATTCGAAGACTTCCTTCCGGAGAGTGTGACCCACAAAATCACGGCGCGAGCGGTCGATCCACTGACGGGAGAGAGCGATGTCCTTTTTTGGCACCCCACTTCGGATGGCAAATTCTCAGCCAAAAGTGCTTATCAGCTCACTCAACAGCCCACAGCTGGCGAGCCAAATAGCCTGTGGAAGAATATCTGGAGTCTTCCAGTCCCGGAGAGAGTCCGATGTTTTTTGTGGCTGGTGGCGCACGAGAAGGTGAGTTGTAATGTTCAGCGGGTTAAAAGGAAAATCACTTCCTCTCCTTTTTGTTACAGGTGCCAGTCTCAAGAGGAAACCAGTCTTCACATTTTCAGAGATTGCCCTCCTGCGGCTTTCTTTTGGGCGCGCACCGTCCCCACAGAGAAGCAAGGCGATTTCTTCAGTATGCAGCTCAGGCAGTGGCTTATGGAGAATCTGCAGACGGAGGAGACGCCGGGTTTGGAGACTCCTTGGAAAGCCTTCTTCAGCATTGCGATTTGGAGCCTTTGGAAGAACAGGAATGAGGGTGTCTTCAAAGGGAGCGATAAGACTCTGTCACCACCCTCCTTGACCCAGGCAATCAAGATTAAGGCGAACTTATGGCACAAAGCTTGGATGGCACCGATGGACGTTCTCGGGCGCTGCTCAGCTCCAGCTCATCGCACGCTCAGAGATATTGGATGGATTCCCCCTCCGGCGGGATGGATGAAGATGAATGTTGATGGAGCTGCTAACGGGACTCAGGGACCGGCAGGTGCAGGTGGAGCTTTGAGGGATCACCTCGGCCGATGGAATAAAGGCTTTGTCGTTAACCTCGGAACTTGTTCGGCGGTCCAAGCTGAACTGTGGGGCATCTACCATGGGTTGGGTGTGGCCTGGCAGGCTGGCAGCAGAACTCTCATTGTAGAATCAGACTCCCAGTTGGCGCTACAGCTTATAGAGAAGAGAAACGATCCGATTCATCCTCAAGCAGCTATCCTGACCGCGATCAGACGGAGGTTAGCTCAAGACTGGGTGGTAAAGCTAGTTCACACTTACCGTGAAGGGAATAGAGTCGCGGACTGGCTCTCGAAGCACAGTCTCGTCTATCCCTATGGAAAGTGTGTTTTGGATTTACCTCCCCAAGGGCTCAACTCTATCCTTAGTGATGACACCAGAGGCCAAACTTTTCCTAGAGAAGTTGTAGACTCGGCTAGAGCTACTCCATTTCTGTAACTCCCTCTCCCCCTCTGTTCCTTTCTGTTTTCTGCGGCTTTTTGCCTCCCGTGTAAGCAAAAAAAGAATAATGTTGATATGGGAAAAAGGCAAGTCCATGAAACCTCACAAGAAGAAAGACAAAAGAAAAAAGACTAACAGCAAAAGAAACAACAGTGAGATAAGATTAGATAAATATACAATAAAATAAGAGTCGGAATTTTAATGGTGTTTAATACATATAGAAATATTCATTAACCATCCTTTTCTTTGCAAGTAATTGAATTTTATGAGTGGAACTCGTCAAGCAGAATTAATAGCTTTGTTTCTTGATCTAGGCCTGAGAGTCATCTGGTCAAAGAAGTGACTAAACGTGTGCTAGAAGCAATCAGACCGAATTCTTCTCCTATCACAGAAGGATTGGTCGGTATCGAGTCGGAGATTGAAGCAGTTGATAAATTACTGGAAACTGATCCACAACGCAATCGCGTAATAGGGTTTTGGGGAATGCCCGGCATTGGCAAGACAACCCTAGCCAATTCTATCTTCCAAAAAATCGATCCAGACGTATTCGAAGGACGACACTACATCCCCGATTTCGCAGTCCAGTTGAAGACCAAGACGGTGAAGGATCTGCAAAACGAACTCTTCAAGGTGTTGCTACGGGACGATAATCCACAAGACATTGCATTTGGTCACAAGCTCAGCCGCCTCCGTCGTCTGAGGGCGTTCGTCGTCATCGATGATGTGACGAGTGCAAGCATGCAAGCCCTAGAAGAGCTGCTCGATTGGAAGTTCTGCGATTTGTTTGGACCGGGAAGTCGAATGATCCTGACGAGCACGAATCAACAGGTGCTCGTTAGTGCTTGTCAAGAAGTGCACCAAGTTCCGGGCCTCGACGAGGAGAAAGCCCTTCAGCTTTTCAGCTTTTACGCCTTCAAGAAGGACCAACCTCCGGACGAGTACAAGGAGAGGTGTGAAAAAGTTGTAGCTTATTGTGGTGGAAACCCACTGGCCTTGAGAGTTTTGGGCGTGGCGTTCTACAGGAAGAAGCTAGAGCTTTGGGATCTGACATTGGACAAGTTGAGGACACTTCACAAGAAGGACATTCAGGATTTGTTGATGATTAGCTACAACGAGTTGAGTCGGGACGAGCAGAGTGCGTTCCTCGACATTGCTTGCTTCTTCAACCACGATGACTATGAATTCGTGACGAGAGTGTTGGATGAAGATCTCGTCACCAATTTGGCCGACAAGTCTCTTGTCGGGATCAACTATTCTAAAGGTAAGATAGAAATGCATGTTTTGCTTGAAGATTTAGGGCAGGATATTGTTGAGGCGGAAACGAATCCTCGAAAACGAACTAGGTGGTGGGAAGTCAAAGATGCCCTAGATTTGCTAGCAACAAACAAGGTAAATATAGAATTAATCACATCTCATTCAGTAACTCAAATTATTTGTATGGGTGTACAATGTTACATAGACTAAATTACATGTTTGTTCACTCGATTTTGTTCATTTAGGGAACAGAAGCAACAGAAGGAATCTGGTTGAATTTGGATGAAAACGAGGAGAAGATAGAAACAGAATGTTCTGATACTTTTGCAAAGATGTGGAATCTGAGAGTGCTTTCCATTGAATTAGCACCAGAAAGCAAAGTAGTTTTCCCTAATGGCGAAGGTCTCATCAATACTCTCCCGCGCAAGCTAACATATCTTCGTTGGGACTTGTTTGCTGCCACATCTTTGCCCTCCAAATTCTGCCCCGATAAGCTTCGAGTGCTAAGGCTGAAACACAACACCATCCGTCAGCTGTGGGACGGAGCTAAGATCGTAAGTATTTCGTACCTCATGTGATCTCAGGATACATAAAATTTCCTAATTGTGACATACACATACATATAACTTATTGCCTCGGAGTTAATCATGTGTACGTGCAGGATCTTGGAAATCTGAGAGAGCTCAATCTCACAGCATCCAAATACCTAACCAAGCTACCGGATCTCTCAACGGCCAAAAAACTCGAGCTCATCGATCTGACCTGCTGCGAGACACTCATCGAGCTTCACGAATCAATCATCTACCTCCCAAGCCTCAAAACCCTAATTCTAGATTCGTGCAAAGCTCTGGACCTCAGTAAATTGGACGAGGAAGACACACAAGGGAGTAGTCTAACTTTCCCATGTTTGGAGCAAGTAAACTTGGACGCCACGCATATCGAAAAAGTCCCTCGATTGCTCCTACGAGCACCAAACCTCACCAAAATCGACTGCTCGGCCTGCCCCAACTTGTCGAAGTTCCCATCCATCGATAGTAACATGTCGATCGAACATTTGATATTTCGAAACAACAAGCTCCTCGTCGACTTCCCGTTGAAGATCCACATGTTGAATTCTCTTCAGACGCTCGACTTCTACGGGTGCGAGAATCTCGGTTCGTTCCCTGAGATCGCGACCACCATGGAAAAACTGCTCGTGCTCGATCTGAGCTACTGTTCGAAGGTATCGAGGATTCCCAACACGATCCGGAATCTTGCGAGCTTGGAGAGGCTTTGTCTGTCTGGCACCGGGATCAAGGAGCTTCCTTCGTCCGTCTTGTCGTTGAAGCGCTTGACCGTGTTGAAATTCGGCGAGTGCAAGAAGCTTGTGAAGATCCCACGGAGCTTCAGGGAGCTGACAAGACTGGAAACGATGGCGTTTACAGGTTGCGACGCGTTGAGCAATGAGGAGCTGTTGCTTCCCGATCGAGTCCATGTTTTATGAATTATATTTTTCAAGCCTTTTTTTTTATCAGTATTTCCCAAGCCTTAATCAATGTCTACTTGTAATGTTTGAATTGAATCATCATTCATAGGGATAATTCCCTCAGAAACAAGGAAGTTAATTAAAATTCCTGTGGAGAACTTTTTTTTTTATAATGGTGAAAGAATATATTAAGATGACGAAAAAGAGTTACACGCAAGAAAAGCAGCTAATGCTCAAGAGAATTGAACCAAGCTGCAAACAGGAACAAAATTAAAAAATAGGAGCGAACAGCCACAAAGACAAAAAACTGGCTAGATGGGCCTAACCATCCCTGCCAGAAAAACAAAGGAAGGGAAGCAGCACAGCAGTGCAGCAGCAACTAAACGCCACAAGACTCTGCAAAACCGGGGAAATTCTTCACCATCAGCGTCTTGTAAAAAGACCCGACAGAGAAAGTGTAGCTCAGCGGCAACAAAGTTCGCTATCCTGCCTCCAGCCTCTGAATCTATCCTGCCATTCGACGTTGCCCAAACCAGCAAGATCGAAAGAGCATAGCGGCAACAACCTAAACAAATCGACCTGCAACAACTCCAAGTCCGGCCTCGCCGCCACAGATCAGCCGATCAATAAACTCTCCTGCAGCCAATTCAGTCCCTGAGTTTTAACAATGTGACCAAGGGACAGCAGCACAGCAGAACAGCAGCAACGCCTGGCTCCAGCCTCTGAATCTATCCTGCCATACGCCGTTGACCATTCCATCAAGTTCGAAGGAGCATAGCGGCAACAACCAGAACCAACCTACCTGCAAAAACTCAAAGTCCGGCCTCGCCGCCATAGATCAGCCGGTCAATAAACTCTCCTGCAGCCAAGTCAGTCCCTGAGTTTCATCAATGTGACCATGGGACACCAGCCATTCCATCGCGTTCCTCGCTGCTCTTCTAGCCACCCCGATAGTAGTCGACTTCTTCTCTTCGAACACTCGTTGATTCCTTTCCAACCACACAAACCACCAAACCGCATGTAGGATACAGTATGTAAACCAATCCCCTACGTTTCCCGGCTTGGAATGAGGGTTGTGCTTGATTATGAGTTTCACCTCCCTGTCTTGGTAGGACAACACCAATCTAACCCTGTTGATAATTCTCCATACTTCCTTCACGAACTCACACTCCACCAATATGTGATTAATGGATTCTTCATTTTTACAACAGAGACAGCATCTATTTGCCATCGACCACCCTCTCCTCTTCAAGCTGTCAACTGTGAGTATTTTGTTATGATAAACCATCCACATAAAAAAGCACACTTTACTAGGAATCAGCTTCTTCCAGATTTGTTTCAATGGAAAATCATTCACTCCTGGCAGCGTTTCCTGCACAAGCATCCTGTACAACGAGCTCACCGAGAACTTACTGTTTGGATCAGGATTCCAAACTATTCTGCACGGACTAAGAGCATTATTGTTCATGGGAATATTATTAAGAAAATTCAACAATTCTACCCTTTCCCTTTCAGCACCCCCCTCAAATTATATTTAAGATTGAAAGACCAACTCACCATTGAGGGATGCTACATTGGAGAGTCTTGCTTCGGAGTCGACAACGGCAGCAGCAACGCGGGGGAATGCAGAAGACAGCACCATCCCCTGGTTCCAAACGTCGTGCCAAAAGGAGATCATAGTTCCATTTCCCGGGTCTATGCTTGCGAACTTCCAAAATAGTTCGTGTTCTTTAGTTATGTTTGCCCACGCGGATTGAGAAAAACCTCAAATAGATGATCCCTTGATTCATGTCCCTTTACTGCACAACAGACAATTATCAGATTTGATTAGCCTCTAAGCTTTAAAACTTTTCTCTCGTCTTAATTTTATTCCTGATCAGTAGCGCCAAGTCGGAACCCTCTGCTTTGGAACCTTATCGACTTCCATACCGAGAGGAAAGTTATTGTCCATATATAATTGTGGGCATTCTTAACCCGATAAGATATAGACAAGATTTTGATTTTTTGCTCAATTTTTGCGTGGATAGATATATGAATAAAGTACAATTAATTTTAGATAGGATAATAAATATAAAATATGAACTATTCTTCTATAGCCTATAATCCATCCGTTTTTGGTTTGATGTTGCATCATATTTTAGAGATAAAAGCCCAATATTAGGCTCAAACGGTTGAGAGTCCAGACTACAAAAATACAGCCCATGGATATCCCAAAAGGTGACTTCAATCCACCAAAAGGAAAAGACGACCAGAAGCCCAAAAATGTGTCGCCAATAAC